AGATGTTTTAAATCTGAAATAGTTAGGAATAATGAAAAATATCTGTTCAGACTGGGTCCTGATGTTGCAACCTCTACCACTAACCTAAAGGTTCCCTTCAGCAAAAGCATAAGTTGGTACGACAAGCTATGCTCTGAACTTGTAAGGTAGCCCTACTTTTAAAAAACTGCTTAATTTTAAACTCAATCACTCAGTCCCCAAGCATCATACATAGCAACCTCAGATGAAGATCTGACCTGGTTTGATCCTTACCTGGGGTAGTTTGTATTTCACTGGAAGTTGACATTATTATGGGCCATCCTGTGGCAGTAGATTTCTGTAGAATGTTCGGTGATGTAGCCATCAGCTAATATAAGGAGACACTACCTCAAATGTACCCTGACTGTCTATCGGTCAATAAACCCAGCAAAACAAACAAACAGGACCTAAAAATATAAATCCAAGTTTTTTTAGCTCCAAGAAACATTTTAATTGGTATTGCTTACTGTTAGCCTGCTAAATGGAAATAATGGTCGTGTCTTGCTGAGGCTTGAACTAGTGACCTCTTGATCTTTAAGTGATTGATCTTCTGTCTTCTAGGGTAAAGAAATATTTTCATCATTCAAAATTTGTAAGTTGACCTGTACTCTCAACTGTTGCAATTCTAAATGAAAAGATGAAAATGGCCAAAAAGCGTTTAAAAAGTTTTTTTTTTCATTTTTGAAAATTTAATGTTATTGAACTCTGAATATCTACCGTAAATTTACATAATATTGAGTCATTGGGCAGAAGTACAGATCAGTGTGTATTCATTATATATAGTTCAGGTTTTTGTATGCTGAAGGTATGCGAAACTCCAACAGCTAATAATTTATTCTTTGGAAAGGTTTCACCTGATTAAAGGTGAAAATCTATGGAAATGGAAAGAGGTCTGTGGAATCTACCTAATGAACAAAGGTTTTCTCTAAAAACAAACATTTGGGTGAGTACTTTACAAATCCCAGGCAAACTTGTGTAAATGTGGCCTCCCTTGCCATACAGTACAATGTAGCTACTCAATTGGTATTTTGTTGTGTGAAGAAAAACATTCTATATTGTTGTCATAGGGAAGATAAATACAGCCCTCAGTGACAAGCAGTAATGATACATTGATCCAATCTGCCCTATACATGCGGATCACACCCTATACATTGTAATATTGGGTCTGATACTACTACTTGATGGGACCTGATAGTTCAGGTAAATATAGTACTGATCTGATGGACTTGATGAAAACAATGTGATATGTTTCTTGGTGTATACTTATTGAGAATGTAACTTTTAAAGCATGGTTGTTCAGAGAATGATTAGTAAGTGAAGTTGTGCTTTTAGCTGTCTGAATTTTAGAATGCCATTATGAATTTGGAAAATGAATAGTTTTATTTTCCAAGCAATTTAGAATATGTTCTTAATTTTTCTTAAATTCTGGGAAAATACAGCTGTAAAACACAGCAAAAAAATTCTCTGCAAGGGTCAATGGATCTTCACGAAGGGTCAGTGGATCTTGACCAATGGTCAATGGATCTTCACGAAGGGTCAATGGATCTTGACCAAGGGTCAGTGGATCTTTACCAAGATTAAACTTGGGTGTTCAAATAAGTCATTACGTATCTGAAGTAAAAACAAGGTAATTCTTCTGTCTCAGAATGAGAGGAGTCATGTACAACTTTAGATAGGTGTCACTATAAAGAGGTGGTGTAATTGGTAGGTGTCAGGTAAGGTTGTAAGTTTAGTGCCCACAGTGTACAGAGGTTGTTATCTACAGGTGTCCTTGTCCAGAAGTTGTAAGGTCAATACTAACCTGTTATAAGTAGGGTACCTACAGGTTGAAGGATATTAGGATTCCTGATAAACAATTACATGTTTTATGTTTTAATGTTTAGCAGGACTGCATCATTATATTTACAAAAAAATTAATTTTACTGACAAATGGAAATAATCACGAAAACTGGTCTTTCAGTGATCAGAAGAAACAGTTTAAGTAAATTAAGAATATATCAAGCATTCATATAGTGTAATGGCTCCATGTCCAAATCACATGTGGAGCTGTTCCATTTCATATGGACAGAGGCGGCTATGAAGATTTGAATATTAATTTGAGAACATGTTTCTGTTGTATTATTGAGGTCAAAGATGAATTACATGTTCTAATTCACTGTTCATTCATTGTATCAAGATATTAGAAATTAATTGTTTGTTAGAGTGGGAAAATTTGATAAAAACTTTGTTATAATGCTGATAAACTCTGTTTAATACTCCACAAGTGATACATATATCTAAAGAGTGCTAAAATCTGCATATGAATGAATCTTTTAATATGCTCAAATATAAATGTTATAGATAAAGAGTTGTATTTTAGGGTGAGACTCAAATGAACTATATGTATTTGGTGTCATTGTGTAGAGACTGTATAAATTTTGGTGTCTAAATTTGGCACTATATGGAGGTTGTAGCATGATCATATATGTGTTTGTATATATATGTATATAGAGGTTATGCAGAAGGACTCAGTGTCGGTTTGTGTGGGTTTGGAGGTCCTTTCTGTTGACTTACTGACAGAATGAGAGCAGCACATATTCCATACAGTAGTAGTATGTATAGAAGTTAAGTGATCAATGATGGTGATTTGTTGTTTGGCTGAAAAGTCCTTGTATATTCTGATTGCTGTGGCCTACAGGAGGTCCCTTGTAGCTGTCAGCCAAGACAGATAGGATGAAAGTGACCAATGGACACCATAGCATGTGAGAAATATTGAAATCAGGCGTCAGGTTTTAATAATCTATACTTGGTTAGTGGAAGGAACTTGTTAGGAGATTTCAAGCTATTTAAGTGTATGAATGGACAATATGTCGTCAAAACATGTTCAGTGATATTACTGACAAGGATTAATATCTATTGTAGTCAAGGTAAGTAAGGAGAAAATATTTCTGGAATCCTCTGGGATCTAAGTGATTAGTTCACTACACTAAAACATATATACCCATGGGAATTACGTAATTAATTCTCTACAGTAAACGCTGCTACAGGGAAAGCTAGAGAATCCATATAATCTTATTATTTACAGGAAAACATGAGGAAGCCCAGAGTTAGGTCAATAATTGTTTTCAATGCTTTCAATTACCATATTGTGGTGTACATCTCAGCATTTTATTGGTTTTCTTTTACCGAGGAAGATACCTAAAAATCCACTTAAACATTGTTAAAACTAGAACTTGTTTTAATTTGATCTATTATATGAGAGGTGATTGTATTTTATGAAACAGACAGAAAGTATAAATAAGAGTAGTAAATATGTCTGTGGATTACATTTTATATATGTTTATGGGTTACAATATATTCACTGCTCTATTGTCAGCTATTTCTGTTTCAGACCTGACATGATCTGTTTGACTCCTCCTTGTATGTTACTTAGTATTATAGTACTCACTGTGTTTACTCGTGTTCTGAGTTAGTGATTACTAAGAATGAATGCAATAAAATGGAATGGTAACACAAACTAAACCAGTCATTAAGGAAGTAGAGATGGACGTCTGTTTTATACATACATTGTAATTGTGGAAAATATTTACTCACAGCTAAGGTAGCTAAGCAATATTTTCACCATGTATGCAGTTTCTTATAGTTTCAATTTGTTTTATATTGCCTTTCTGAAAAGTGGTTCTGTCGTAAATAATTTGTTAAAATTTGATGGTATGATTCCTAGAGATTTGAGTTTGATACTAGAACACAAGGTGTATTTTGATACAAGGTTGTACTAATAATGCGTACCCATATATGTATGTTATATATAGACTAATAGAGAACTCCAGGACAATTAATTTTTCGTAAGTGACTTTTATGTCAATTTGCCAAGTACTGTTTACTCAAGGGCAAAATTATAAAAATGTCAGCTGGTTTTACTCTGTCAGAAGTAAGGAAGGAATTTATACAAAAACTGGTTCGTTTTTATGATTGGTTTGGATTCTACAAGTTGGACAGTCAGACTGGAGGGGCACTGGGTTTGGTAAATTTAACTTTGTTGTAACAGGTATTTCTTAACTTGATACTGTATATCAACTTTAATTGCTTACAGCTTATAGATTATATTCATAACTTTGGTCCATTGTTTGGCCTGGAAACTGGAACACTTTAAGAAAACCCACATAGTTGTGTAGGTGATCCCATACTTTCTCATGTCATAACAGGGAATTGATTTCCAGTTGTCTAGGTGAAAGGTGAAATATGTCACTGCACAAATGAACTAGTTGTCTTTGGAAACTCTTTTCTCTGAACTCGTACAAAAAATCATAAGATGTAGTTTAAAGATATTAACATGTATAAACCATTTTCCTTTGAAACCCAACATTCTGTTTGAATGTTGTGAAATGTGAGATTTATCTATACAAGAGTTGTCTCCCATCCACCTGTTGTGACGATATATCTCTTGGGGACTGTCTTCTCTTCTTTTTCTATACATTGTTTTTCAACCTTAACAAGATAAAAGTGAAACAGTTCTATTTATGAAAGAATTTGTGTGAAATGCTACTGAATGGTGACACTTCATCATATGGTATATTTTTATAGAGGACTTTGGCCAAAATTTGGGATCTACGTCACAAAAGCCTTCAATGTGCAGTATTCATTATGTTATATGTTATCAGATTGTCCTGTTAGAAAAAACTACAACAGACTAACAGTAAATTCGGTAGGGAGTCTTTCTGAGCCTATGTTTCAAGAATAATGTTTCTCATGAACATTAGAGGACCCTGTGAAAGATCAGCTTTGGCTAAACAGGTTTTTAGATCCTCATGAAATAAAGTCTACTATTATTGTCATTATTACATTTACCTAGTAATATTAATTTCTAAGTAATAATTATCATGTCAAGTTGTTATAATTCAGTATAACGTGTATGTTTTTTTTTATTTTAGATGAGGTGCTGTAGATTTCCCAAACAGAACAGAGAGCTTTGAATTGACCTTAGGTCACAGGTCAGGGCTAAAATGACATCCCGCTACATCAATGCTCTGGACTATGCTGATATCAATGCAAAGAGGATCTTGAAGAAACATGCAAAGGTATTTCATATGTCCAATGTTTCAAAATAATTTGATAAGGTTTGCATATCCCTGACTCCTTCTGTCAAGTGGATTTGTTACATGTGAATTGGATTGTCAGTGGTACGTTGGATTTTAAGGATGGTGATAAGAATAATCTGAGATATACAAACATTATGTATTGAGTTTATTACTGACCTTGTCTTTATCTGGATTCATATGTGTCTGTGTCAGGTTTATAAACCATACATGTATATTGACAAGAAGAAACTGTAATTGATAAATTTATAATACAGTAACTTAACATACTAGCCAGATAGTGGTTCAATTTTGATAGCAAGCTGTACTATCAGACACCAGAAAAACTTGTTTTCGTTCCTTATTGTATAGTGTACCTGGAATCAAAATAGGCTTAAGAACACTGATTCTGTTTGGTTGAAGGTATAACTTCTGATAAACTATTATATAATGGATTTTACCTTCAGTTGCATTTTGACCAAATGGCTTTTGAATTTAAAATTCACATAAATTTCCATTTCTAAGGCATATGCTTTAAACAGTTTGATGTTTGACAAACATTAGAAAGGCCTTTAAATCATGCTTGTTTAGAGTTAGCTGCAATTGTCGAAAAACACCCATTGACATTTTTTTATTTATTGTGAATTGTAACATTCCTTTTAGTTTTTCATTGAAAGAACTTTGCATCAAAGGCTTTCTCACAAATGGAATTTTACATAAGTAAACAAATACTAAGCAGAAGAAAAAAGACAAATTTTATGTTAGTTTTAATACATTTCTCTCACGGCTTTGTACTTACAATAGAGGTAGTTGAATAGGTTACCTTTATAATGATAAGATTATTTTATGATATCATTAATGGTCGTTTAATGAAAACAGGGTAAAATAGCAGGACATTTCAATACAGATATCACCTGCAGGCAGATATAACAATGGCTAATGTAGCTGTTGTAAATCATTTATATTTCCTGTGGGATTTATTTTCCCGTTTATATGCAAGGAGAATTAATTGTGAATTCAAATCTGTCACAAACATTTGTACGAAAATAACTCTGGATGGCATCCTTGATGAGTTGGTTACTGATAACTTGGTCTCGAAGAGTCTATACCTCTAATAGCTCACCATTCGCGAATTTAAAGTCATTTCTAGATATACATTAGCAAAATTTGTGTATTTGTGAATATGTCTGAAAAGGTGAGTTTGTGAAAGAAAGTATTCACAAGTGATTTACAGCACTATCCAATAAGCAACACCAATATACAGCTTCAATATGTCACAAAGTACATTTCCTCGTAACAACAGGATATCAGATATCAGAAAACAGAAAAAATGAAATCTCACAGATGTGATGTCTTCTGATTATAGTGACAAAGATTATGCATTTTTTTTTTTTTAAATTCTAGTCACATGACATTGTGACATGAAATAATCACACAGTATTTTTGATATTTTTATCAAGAAGACATTGATCATCATTTCTATATGAACTTTGTCATTATCAATGTTTTTTTTATATAAATTCACTTTAAAGTAGGATGTTAGGTATTCTGATGTCATGGTTCATGGTGCTTTTGTTCTTTTTCATCACGAAGTTACATTACTGATGATGGATGTCTTGTACACAACATACTCTTGTTTGTGATAAGATGTTTGGATTTTGCAGAATTATTTCAGGAAATGTCTGCTATCAGAATACATTACATGATGGATTTACAAGCTGTCTTTGTCTTTTAATTCTTTATGCTTGTTTTTACACATAAATACTCATCGACATCACATTTAGTATCGGTCTGTATTTTTATCCATGATCTTTGGAACTAGTCATGACCTTGAACATTTACAAGAACGAAATGTGTCATTTGTTTGAGTCAGCCAACAATTATATTAAATCGTCACTGCTGCCAGACATGATGTCTCGCAGACTTTGTCCTTTGGTGTTGTGACTGGATTTTAACTGATAGACTTGGTCCTTAGGTGCTATGACCCAGTACTAAAGAATGTGAAGAGTCAAAATTCAAAGTACCTTCTAGAAATTGTCAGTAATTGAATTTAGCTCTGTTTAATGCGTTGAGAATTTCTTCACATCTGTCTGTTTAAATAGTCATCTCACTATGAACATGATATACGTTAGCTGTGACTAATGCATGCTTTTTTAACACAAAATTCTTGTCTCATTTACATGCAAAAGAGATTATAATTAGGATCAGAAGGCATGCAATTGATATTATTTTTTATGATAATTTTTTTAAATTGTGATATATTTTACAATTAGGAGTACAGTATGGTGGTTACAAAGTTCAGTTTCCTTTACAATATTTTGTTTCTCTTCAGTTTCCTCTCTGCATTAGGAGGTTTATTATCCTAATTATAAATCAAGTTTACCAATACATATAACTATAGTTAATTGGCAGATAGAAGTCCTACTTACTTGATATGTAAATTGCTGATGTTATCACAGTAAACAACATGATCAGGATGATAGACACTTCTACTACCACACCTTAATATTCAGTATTCTGACATCCTGTTGTGTACGACATTCACATCCATTTACTGATCAACCAGTTTATTGGATTCCACAGGGTGTCAGATTGGACAAGTTTCACTGTAGATGTAAATAGTTGGCAGATACGCACGGACGATAATGTGTGTATCACGTACATTCCTTTGATATTTGTTAAATGCATATCTGATTTTGGGTTGTACTGTTTGAAGGACTTTTTAATCCAATTTATTTGTGGCACTCTGCTTAGTTTTAACATGATAAATGTGCCTGGTAGATAAACAGTCTGATGTCATTTGTCATCCCAAACAATGGTTTCTTGTTTTAAACAATTAGTGGTAAGGACTTAATGTATTGGTGGAGGGATTTTGTCTGTAGATACTTGTAACACTTGGGTTTCTGTGTATTCATAGCCTGTTAGATCCTAATGTAGATCTAGGTGGTATGTAGTTCTATACAATATTTCTGTCTCAACAATGGTCATTAGGACAGATGGGCCACTTTAAGTCTTGAAAAGTCTCTCTAACCACCTTACCAGGATTACTTATGTTTGCCAAGTAAACTTTTCATATTTCCAACAAAAAAAAATATCAATCGCTGCCAGGAGAGTTTTTAATGCTGTGAGATAAAGAGAGAACATACTGCATTTCTATGAATTCCCAAACAGGATAACTTGTGTTCTCCATTTATGTAAAATTTACTGTTGTGGAGATAGTGAATACACTTCAGTCTGCCATTGTGACAGCTTGTAAGATACGTGGTGTTAAGATACATGGTTCTGGTGCTCGGTAACTAAAGCAAAATTGCTAATATCAAGGTAAGGAAATTATAATTATACTTGAGATTGAATTATAGAATAATGACCTCTGGTTGATTTTACATTGATTCTAGAAACATCAATGAATTCTAAATATACAATCATATAATTACAGGTAAACAACGCATAGTCAGTCTGTGCTTTATGGGTTTGATGATGTAATATTAGCTTGGTAGAAAAGACATTTATCATTTATATGACACATAGTTTCATTTCTTTTTATCATTATATGAGAAGATAAAATCTCTCACAAGAGTATTTTGAACAAATGTAGATCCTCTCAATAACCTGGTAGGAAAACCATTTGGACAGACCATAAGGCTGACATATCTTTTTCTCCTTTTAAGATTAATTATGCCTTTCCAAAAGAAAGGCCATATTCACTTTCTTCCCACGAAAGATGAAAGGCTTATAACATCCTTCTCAAGAGAATTTGTACACCTTGACAAGGTAAAAAGCCTTTTTACCTTCTACCAAAGAGGACTTGTACTCCTTCTCAAGGTGAAAAGGCCTATACACTTTCTACCCTAGAGGATTTGTACACCTTCCCAAGGTGAAAAGGCCTGCACACCTTTCCAAGGTGAAAAGGTAGTTTAAAGAGAATTTTTTATAGTGATTTTGTAACATAGAAAATTTGAGTTGTATTTTAGAAATTTTTCTGTGCACATGTATCTTCAGTATCCTTTCCAAACCAATGAAAAGATTACTCAGTTAAGTGTGGGGGTAAAGGACATTGCTGATTTCATTAGATCAGTTTTTCTCCTTGGTCTTTGTAAGGTATAAGGTTTAGTTGGCAGGGTATGATGATTGTTTCTTCCTCTTAAACTTGCTTATGTGACTTATTATTGATCTTAAGTGGTACAAAATAACAGACCTTAACAAATACATTTCTTTCTTGCAAGCCAAAAGCTAGGCACATCATATACAATTTTAATTTTCTGCCCATTGGGAACAATAAAGGGTTTAGTGTATCGGAGATTTGTTCAGTAATAGCACTTTATGTTTTGACTTTATTTCAATTTTATGGTGATTGGTTTCATTCACTTTGTCTAGTGGTTTGTGACCTGGCTATAGGAGTCGACGAGGGACATCAATCACGCCTGTCATCAGACTGGGGCCTACACCTCACTCTGTATGTGGTTCATTGATAATACCATTGATTTTTTTTTTACAATAATGGTACATATGATTGTTGGCTTCAGTTGACTTATGTCTAAATGTTTCTTTTAGCTAATTTGGCTCTACAGTTACTTAAATCTGATGGTCACTTGTTATCAGCCCATCAACAGCCATTGTGTTCCACCAGGCTTTACATTGGCATCTGATAATCAACAGAACCAGGTACATAGTTCTGTAAAATTTCCAATTTCATAGAAAAGAAAAAACTTAATTTAGTTTTGGTTTTCGTTGCAGGTGATCAGTTAATTATTAGTTTTATTAAAGAATAAAATATTAATGGTTTTTGTTCAGGTAAATGGCAATGCCAAAATGAGTCATTTGAGCTCTTCCAGTCTCTGATGCCTACATTAATCATATACCTGTAATTAAAAAGGAGTATTGAATAATGTTTCTTTTTCTTTTACAAAATTTGCATGCCCTGAATTTGTAGAGATAAAAAATCTAGATGCTGCAAGGCAGGTTACAACTGTTTGAATAGCAGGTATTGTGCCAATAGAAAATTTGCTGACAGGAATTAGGTCAAGGCTTAATTGTAGTAAGACGATCAATGTATTGGATTATAATTAGCTGAAGATAAGAAAGCTTGTTGGAGTTATGGAGCTTAGTGCTACAGAACAAAATTCACATAGATATTCTGGATAACAGTTTAAATAGACTTGCCAATGTTACAATGGAAAATGCTCTTTGTTAGAAAGTGATTACTGTTTTTTTGAAAAAGATTATATAATAATGTCGGTAACTAGTCATTCAGACACATATCACATTTCTGGTTTTACATTTCATGAGAAAAATGGAAACTAATGAAAAAGATAATCTATTTTTCATTCATACTAATCTGAAGTTACGAAGACAAGGAGCAGCAAAATATTGAAGATATTTTTTTAATATAATTTTTATACAAAAAAAAATTAGAGTTTACTGTTCTGTATGCTTGCTTGACAAAGTTCTCAAATAATTAGGCCCAGAACGCTAGGGGTTTGATGTTTCTAGGATCAACAAGGTTGATAGAAATTGTTTAATATTTCCAAAGCCATTAAAGCACTGATAAAGAATTGGGTGCGTTTTATCCAACATTCAAATTAATCTAATGCTGTTGTAATGGAATTCATTATGTAGATATAAAAAAATATGGTGAGAGTGAGTTGTTGAGAAGTAATTTAGGTACGTTTGAAAAAATAGTGGAACAAATTGCTTTTGATTATTCTTTGCAGTTAAAGAGGTGAAATGGTTTGAATAAAAGTGAAGATTTAATTCTGGCTCTGTAAATCAATTTTAACATGTGAAGAGAGTAAGATTCTGTCTTTCTCTACTGAATGGGAGATTGATATGCGGTACTGGAGGGATTTCTTAGAGCTTAACTTGATTACTAAAGAAGTTAATACATGATAATCAGAGTCCATTACAGCTTTAATAACATAACACACCATAGACAAAATATCAGAAAGCCAGTACATCAACTGCTTTAGAAGTCAAACAAACAGTTTAATTTGTTACAGGTATGTGATTCTATATAGTTCCCAGATATTTAATCGTAACCATTCGACTTCACTTTTGTGAGTAAACCTATGACTTTCTTTATAGAAGGGGTGTTATTGAATTTTACACTGTGTATGGGTGTTGTTTTCATTTGTTCGGAATTATTTGTGATGGTGATCATGGCCATGTCAAAACACTAACATAATCTTTGATGTCCATATATGAATACCCAGGGTAATCGTAACAGGCCACAAGTCTGTACTTATGTCAAGGATCATAAAGCATTGGAAATCTGCATGATTCACGTAACTGATAAATCCACACATAACAGGTAATGTTGCAAGGATTTTGTCCTAAATTTATTCGTACAAGGAGAGAAATGAATTGTAATCCTGTCACAAGTCCGTGAATCATGTTTTAAGGTTGTATAACACTTTCTGGCTGTGATGTGGTTTGAGCTGGTGATGTCTTTGCCTGGCGTGCTGGATTACATAAATCATATATTTTTTTTATCAAGAGGGTATGGCTTGGTACATAGTTATGTGACATGTAAACTTTGTTAAGCAATCTTGTGTATCTGTTCTTCTGTTAATCAGTTGTATTTTCATGATACAGGAATAATACTTTCTGGTGCAAAGAAATGTATAGAGGATATTTATTGATGTCTTGTTGAAATCCTAATATTGTCTACATCAGGTATAATTAAGAGTTATAGTGGAATACAATATAGCTAGCATTTAACTAAAAATTTCTGTGTTATAATCTAAAAGCACCTAAAAACAACAAAAATATAAAGAGAATTAATAGCATAATCAGAGACAGGATGTCCTAGTAATATCTCACCTTCTCCTAGTTGTAAGTGTTTACTATTACCTGTGTACTTTAACAAAAACATCTCCTTTCTTCTCAGTGACTTAAGGAAGTATCATTTTCATTAGTCAGTAACAAAAAAGAAATCTTAATTCATACAGTGATATACTGTAAAATTGTTCATTTTCATGGGGAGTTTATATTTGTTGATTTCGTGGGTACTCTAAATCACTAATTTTTACGTCCAAAAAGTTTTTTAACTATTATAAGTAGATTAACATGAAATCGAATGTCTGTGAAATAGATATTTTTTGAAACCATGAAAATCTAGCTCCAGGAAAATATATGGTTTTGCACTATATCAATATCTGTGTCTCTGTTAAAATTTGAACAGTTGATAAAAACCAATATCTCATAGGTACAACTCTTATCAGTTTCACTACTGATCTCTTTCATTATGCTACTGGGAGGACCAGCTGTTTGATGATATCGGATGTGTCTTAAAGGATCATACACATGGACCGGTGACATGTAGATAAACTCCTTGCTGGAATTATTTCTATTACCGATACCAGAGAGAGATGAATGTACAAAGCTACAGACTTATTGATGTGTTTTATTGAAGTAATATACATGTGTCCCACAGATGTTGATTTCATTTTATGTTTCTATAAATATAAACTTTTACAGAAACGCCCCCTCGGGGAACTTGAGAGCAGATTGAGGTACACTCCTGCTCAGCCCGTGTTGTCATGCCGTACTGTAGACATTGATGTGAGCGGGACACGGACGTATCGTTCACGGTCCACCACAGATATCATTACAGAGCAGCATAAACTCATCCACAACCTATACACCAGGACCAGGTCAGTATTATACTCTATACCAGGAGCAGGTCAGTATTATACTCTACACCAGGATCAGGTCAGTATTATACTCTACACCAGGACCAGGTCAGTATTAAACTCTACACCAGGACCAGGTCAGTGTTATACTCTACACCAAGACCAGTTCAGTATTATACTCTATACCAGGAGCAGGTCAGTATTATACTCTACACCAGGATCAGGTCAGTATTATACTCTACACCAGGACCAGGTCAGTATTATACTCTACACCAAGACCAGGTCAGTATTATACTCTATACCAGGAGCAGGTCAGTATTATACTCTACACCAGGACCAGGTCAGTATTATACTCTACACCAGGACCAGGTCAGTACTTTACTCTATAACAGGTCAGTATTATACTCTACACCAGGACCAGGTCAGTATTATACTCTATACCAAGACCAGGTCAGTATTATACTCTACACCAGGACCAGGTCAGTATAATACTATACACCAGGAACAGGTCAGTATTAAACTCTACACCAGGACCAGGTCAGTATTATACTCTACACCAGGACCAGGTCAGTATTATACTCTATACCAAGACCAGGTCAGTATTATACTCTACACCAAGACCAGGTCAGTATTATACTCTACACCAAGACCAGGTCAGTATTATACTCTACACCAGGACCAGGTCAATGTGATCTGATCTGTAATAACAAATTTCCTTTGTTAGAGTTTGTCTAAAATTGTTAAACTTCTAATATTTGGCACATGCAATTTCATCTCCTTGAAACACGTAAATAGATATTTTTTTTAATTCTTATGAAATCATTTGCAGTACTTAAATCAATTACAGGTTATTTAATGGGTAATAAATTGGCATTTGTGTCTTATTACCTAGTGTATTTAGACAAAGATTTACAATAAATGTACAGACATTGCCTAAAAGAAACGTTATTTAATCATTCCTTCCGTGTAATAAAAGCTAGGTGTTATTGGAATTTACAAATACACAAACAGGTACAGGCACATTACCTGCATAAATATCTACAATTTCAATATCAATAGAATGTGACTTCATATCTCAGATATTTGTGTAAAGGGTTGATGGAGGAAGGTGAAAGTCTTGTAAAGAAGTGAAATTGAAATTCATGATGGAGCAATGATGGAGGATTCATGAAGGTTGATGATAGGGAAAAATGAAGAGACAATTAAAGATCTGTGTTTGAGAGATAAAGATAAATAAAGGTTAAAAAGACTATGAAAGATTGGTGATGGAAAGAAAGTGATAAAGAGATAATAAGGAATGGTGATTGAGATGGAAAGATAATGAAGGATTGGTGATGGAGAGGTAATGAAGGGTTGTTGAAGAAGAGATAATGAATGTTTGTGAAGGAGAGATGATGAAGGGATGTGAAGGAGAGATATTTAAGGCATGTCAATTGAGATGAAACAAAGGATTTGTGAAGATGAGGTTATTAAGGATTGGTGAAGGATTGGTGATAATGAAGGGTTGTGAAGGAGAGATGATGAAGGGTTGTGAAGGAGGGATAATGAAGGGTGGTGAAGGAGAGATAATGAAGGGTGGTGAAGGAGAGATAATGAAGGGTTGTGAAGGAGAGATGATGAAGGGTTGTGAAGGAGAGATGATGAAGGGTGGTGAAGGAGAGATGATGAAGGGTTGTGAAGGAGAGATGATGAATGGTTGTGAAGGAGGGATGATGAAGGGTGGTGAAGGAGAGATGATGAAGGGTGGTGAAGGAGAGATGATGAAGGGTTGTGAAGGAGAGATAATGAAGGGTGGTGAAGGAGAGATGATGAAGGGTTGTGAAGGAGGGATAATGAAGGGTTGTGAAGGAGAGATAATGAAGGGTTGTGAAGGAGAGATGATGAAGGGTTGTGAAGGAGGGATAATGAAGGGTTGTGAAGGAGGGATAATGAAGGGTTGTGAGGGAGGGATAATGGAGGGTTGTGAAGGAGAGATGATGGAGGGTTGTGAAGGAGGGATAATGAAGGGTTGTGAAGGAGGGACAATTAAGGCATGTCAATTGAGATAAAACAAAGGATTTGTGATAATGAGGTTATGAAGGATTGGTGAAGGATTGGTGATAATGAAGGGTTGGTTGTTGGTTATGGAGAGATAATGATAATTACAGATGAAGAAACAAAGCCAAGGAAATAAACAGAATGCATAATGTTGATTCAAACACTAATGTTTATCTCTATGTCAAGATAAATTACCAACATTGTAAGCATTATCAGAAATGTGATCATTTATGTTTTGTGATTTCAGTCGTAATATAACCTCAGCTCCTAACAGAAGGAATGGTGTCAGCACCAGGACAGATGATGAATTTGCCAGGAGACAGAGAATCAACAGTAAGCAATATCTATCATGATGTGATTTTTCCAAACCATAATACTAGTTATAATTCAGTTATCACGAAACTTTATACCAAAAATACCTCAGTAGAGATTAACATGAAATTTTACTTCAGAACTTGTGAAGTCCCTTATAGATTTTGTATTTGTTGTCCCTTTCTTCACACTATGTCCCTACTTAGAACTGTTTCTTTTTTATTAATGTTATGTCTATACTTAAGTTGACTTTAACTGTTGGTTATAAAACTTGAAATTTCTGTATCTCCGTTTAAATGATAGAGTGATATAGAAAACACATTTTGAATGGGTAAAAAATCAGTGCCATTTTCCTGAAGAAGGGGTATCACTGATCTGTTTTGGAAACTGGGTCTCCATTTAAATCGATAAACAACAATATAAAAGTGCTACCTAATACTAATCATGAAAATTTATGGTGTTTGTCAGTTTTTTCGAATTGTGTACATTCTTGTGGATTATAGACTGCAGATATTTTTTAAAGGTTTTATTTTCTCCCCTTAAAGTTGAAGTACATGGTCGACCTTTGACTTCACAGTCTCAATCTTCCTTACAACACACAAATCGGGCCCATTCTTCAACGCGTCGTCCCAAAACAACTGGTGAGTGTTGGCAAACCTGTCAAGATCTGTATAGAAATCTATACATAAATAACATCAGCCTTGTGTTATGTAATCTTACTTTTGACAAACCTTGATAAGATAAGAATTAAGTGTCAGGTCGAAACTCATTTACAGTGAAATGTTGATTTTGTCACTTGACATCTGCTTTTTCACTTTTGTAGGTAAGTGACATTTTGCCAGTTTATATTGTAAAATGTAGATAATTTATCTTAGTTTTATGCATCCTCAGCACTAAACAGTCATACATATAATGTTACCTTCAACATTTCTAATATCTGACCATGTACTTTCCACTTTTTTTTTAGGAAATCTTAAGAAAGTCTCATTTTTGTCTCACGATTTGAGCATCAATCAAAACACAAATGCTGAATATTTGGAGACAAGTCGTGAACACAAAAAACTGACAGATAAAATACATGAACATTGGGACCCTGGAAACCACGATTTAAACACTGGAACATTTGTCAGAGGTCAACAGAAGCCTGATGCTCCACCAAGTCTGGAGGCTGGCTGGCTCACATTTGGCGGTGTCAACAGTGAAGAGGCCTCTGGTGTCATAGATGCTTTTGCTCGTAAGTGATTATTTCAACTTGTATCCCAAAGATAACTTAATATGCAGAACAAATAATTTATCATAACTCTACTTTAACTTTCTGGGAATCACTTTAATACTTTAATACAGACAGAAAATATCGGCATTGGTCATCAGAGACATGTATCTATTGAAGAGACAATGTGTACCAAATGAGATGTATTATGAACAGAACAAATAAAGATATGAAAATAATTAACTGGTTTCAGAATTAAGAGACGATGAGGAGTACTATAATATTGAAGGAAAAGTTGGAAGTCGGGTTGCACAACAGTTACAGAAAGGAGACAAAATTCGCGTTGGAATCAATGGCCGTATCCAATCTGATGATCTAAAGGTGAAACGCCAAGACAGCTGTCTCAGCAGGCAGTAAGTAGTCACAAAGGAACAGCATTGTTAACAATAGGGTATTGTGTACAATCATTTCTTTGATTCAGAAAGTTGATTCCACCCCTAGGCACTCAAGGGCATGGCCCTGGAATGGTGACATCATTTAATTTGAAATAGCAATAATTTCTGAAATGAATTATTTAATTTCTTAAATGAATTATTTGATTGTCAGATGGGCTTCTTTCATTTAGTAAGATTTCATTATCATTGATAACTTTGTACAGATCATCACCCACGACTGAAATTAATATAATGATTTGTGTTTATTATCATTATTATTATTATTTAGAACCAATATCTAATAAATTTATTTCTTAGATATCATATTTACTGTGACCCTAAGCATTCCCTCAGAACAGAAGTAGGGCTATATGTGTTCTACAATTATACTTTAATTCTTGTTGACTGTTAGGAATAGTTATTGAATTAATTCTAACATGCACCTGCTTAAAAATGTTTGGAAATCACAGTCTCTTTTTTGCTCAAAATTGCTAAATAATGCTTACATACCAATTCAGCTCCAACACAGATTGTGATAATGTATAATTCTATATAATTTTGACAATGTGAAAATATCTCCTCACCAAATGATTACAGAAATATTTGTACTATACTTACAGTTAGTGTATATTGTTGACAGGTCTTCAGAATTTGAGAAAGCTGATAAAGAAAACATGGAAAAAACAGTTATTCCCCTTTGTTGGGATGATGAACTGACAACATCAAAAGTGATATCACCAAGGGAACAAAAGGATGATGGTCCCAAACCAGTAAGTGACTTAGTGGCTGAAGTAAAGTTACAAGTGAGGTCATACTTAATACGTCTATCAGAGGATATAGCAAGGTGAATTTGATGTCAATAAAAATCCAAGTGAATTCATTGTCAGCGAAAATCTAGTTAAATTTAAATTCAATGAAACATCCAGGTGAACTTGATGTTAGTGGAGAAAAAAGGGATTTGTTACTGTGCTTATTACCAAGAGAATTATTATTTGTTTAACTTAAAAATCCATCCACACATGATTTTAATACACTGAACATAATACTTGTACCAAGACTTATACATTAGGACTGTTTACATCTTAAATTCCAAATTTTAATACCATGATAATTGGTTGTATGGCTTCCAAGTAATCTGTCAGTGAGATTTACCTTTGATTGAGTAACATATCGTACTCTAGTGATAATGATCCACATTATGTCTTATGATAGTTAAATTGTTTAGAATTACCACTATTTCAACTGAAGAGTAAGAACTTTTGTCAATAAATGTGTTTTTGTTGCTTTGCAGGTGATGAGTGAAACTCACCCAGTAATTTATACACATGAGAAAAATGAAGTAAGGCGTCCTAATCTGACTAAAAAATCCACAAAACAAAGCCCACCGAAGCCTCCAGAGGGATTTAAGATCAAACACAGGAAGAAGTCTCGACAGAGTTTGGATGGTCAGGCGGATGAGAAGATCATGGTAATCACAATAGACCAGAAGTCTTCACTAGAGGAGACTAAGCTACAGGGGTTGTCTGTTGATGATGTCCTCCAAAACAAACTCAATGGTAACAAGGCACCCACAGACAGTGTTAGTGACATGGACATTAGTACAATACAGGACAGTCCCAGAACGGGTGGTCGCACCCCCTCAGAGGACACGTCACGAAATACAGCCAAAAGTAATATATCAGATTCTGCCCTAAGTGTAGAGCCTCTGAGAATCACAACACCCAAATCTAAACCTGTATCACCTCCTTATGTCTCCAAGAATGTACCGTCAGATTTGATTGTTGGACCGTCGTCAGGAAACTTAGCTGGACGAGTAAAGTCTGCTTCCTCTACTAGCAGATCAAGTCGAGGGGGAAGTGAACGAGGCAGTGCCAAGTACCACAATAGGCCCACCCCACCAAAACCCCTCCACACTTTCAACACTCCATCCTCATTTAATGTCTATGGCACACGTGGTGAGACAGAGTTCATTCAGATCACATCACAAATTCGTAACCCCAATCCCCCTCCTCCTGCTCCTCACTCCAGCCCACTTAAGGAATCATATCTAGCACAGTCATACAGTGATGAGGCCATTCGACAAGTGGTACAACAAAATATACCTGTAACAGAAGAAAACCACCAGCAAGCACCAGCATCTTCCCCAGACATCCCTGACATTTGTCCATCAAAGCAGGAGGAAGAAATGGAGCCACCTCCCCCAACCCCACAACCTGACCTCCGCACCACGAGTCCAGGGAGCACAGGTCTAGCCATAAGCATTCCCACAGCCGAGGAATTTTCTGACAGAGATTTTGATTCTACCGTTAATTCTCCTTGGACTAGCCAACGAGAAAATGTAATTGGTATGGAGAATGACCCTCGTGGTACCTCAAAAAGGGAGGCTGCCTACAGAGACTCTCAGATTGATCAGATTACCTCCCTTTTGAAGGGAGCAATAGTTGTTCCTACTGACAAGAATAGTTCATTTGTTGTTGAAAAATCGGTGAAATTTCAGGAAGGTAGCTAACAATTTTTTTTAACAAAAAATATTTCAACTTCTTCTTTAAGTCAATAGTTGCCTTGGGTTATGGACAGTGTCACTTCATTTGCTTGGAATGTTGAATTCAAAATTTCACTTTTTTTAAATGAATCTTTCAGGATTTACCTAAAATCTATTTAGCACATAGTTTAATGAGAAGACGATTTCAATTTGAGTCATAGTAAATACAGTGTATCACAGTGTATCTAGTCTGATATGAGTTGTTGTTTTAGACTTGTGTGACTTTTTCAGAATGGTTGTATCAATCATGTACGATGGGAAGTCCTCTCACAGCATCAAATCATTGTAGTGTTATGGTCTACAAGTTTGATCCTGTTCATGGTTAATATCCTCACTATTTTTAGTCTGTTTTAATTATTCTAAAATTATAGCACCATATTTAAACTTATATACCTTACACATATTAAGTCTCAGCATTCCAGTACAATTATGTTGTTTTTAGGTTTAAAATGAGACAACCTCGAAGAATTTCATGTCAGTATGGTTATCATTGAGTCATAAATACTGTCATAAACCCTGTATTTCAAAGAAATAAAGATGATATTTTTTATAGAGTTATATAATGTAATTTACTAAGATATTTTGTCTTAGTTAATGCAAGACGAAATCAAATTTTTAAAAAGATATATATATATTAAATCATTGTGAGGAAAGCCAAGATAATTTTCCATTGAGTTTTATGTTTGTCTTGTCATAATTGTTGTAAAAGTTCATATAGATTTTATTTCTATGGCTACTTTTATGTGATGTTTAAAAAAATTCAAAGGGTAAATGTTAATTGTTAATGTTGACATATACATGTACAATGTATAGATAAAATCAGATTTGTATATAAATTTGTTGGAATATGTTTTTCATTTTCAATTACAGAATAGATATCAAGTTATCACTTGTATTAGAGAATTTTAAATCATACATTTGATAGAATATTTTAAAACATTTTTGGAGATCTAATATATATATATGCAGAGTGCCTTAGTATTTCATGGTTTATTGTGTATGGTTATTATTTTTTAAAAAAATAACACGATGCACAATGGTTTTGATAAGGTGTTTCAACTGTCTGGAACATCTTTTACTTATGTGACGTAGATTTTACATACAAACATATACCATTTATCATTATCTTGTCACCATAGTATCAAATGTCAAATCATTGTTGGATGTATTGTAAGTATAGTATATGTTATTGACAATTTTATAAAGCTACTTCATGTAAAGAATATATACATCATATTGAAATAACATGAAAAAAGCATATCTGTTTCAAAAAAGTTTTACATTACATTAATTACACAGGGATTGAAATTTTAGATTTTTAATTTATGTCATGTCAAAGATAAACTGGTTGATGATAAAAATATTGTTCTTAATCACTGTTTTGTTGATGATCTTACACATTATGATAAATTGTGTACTGTTAACAGATTTTACATCAATAACGTTTCTTCATTTAAAATTCCATGAACAAGGATTGTCAGTGATGATACACACAAACTTCAGAGGAAAGTTAATCTCACAAATATGTAGTTACTTCAGACTTTAGAAGTTTATCCTATATTTTATTATCAATTCCTATAACAAAATCTGTGATTTGTCAATTTTTGATGATTTTTTTTTTTTTTTTTACCATTAATGAATTATAAGTAGTTTTTACCTGAGAGACAGTATTAATAACTATTGAGAATAAGACAGTGTGTTATATATATATGGATATATATGTTATTTATATTTAAGACATGAAAGGTGAAAAATACAGGATTATGACAAATCAATTCATCAGTAACTTGTCAAGCCATTCATGTTGTGATAAAAGCTATGGTTTCCCCACCATAACCGATGACATAGACAAACTCCAAGGTTTATATAGAGTTTGGATGTATAAACGTTTAGTCATACTCTAGGGGTTATAGAGAGTTTGGATGTTTGAATGTTTCTGTGTTAAAGTAACTGCAGTTGATCTAACCAATACTAATTAGTTAGTATAACATACTGTATATGCTTGCCAGGGCACTGAAAACTTATCGTACTGACAGAAATTATAATCAATTGACATTGATTAATAGTTTTTAAAAAGAAGTTATTTTCAATTATATAAATGTATACAACACTTGATTATTTGATGTAAACTGATGTATTTTTAAAATGGCTCGCTGACTGCTGAATTTAACATTATTAATTAGAATTAAAAATGGGTCTCTGAATGAACTTGATGATAATGACCATCTATGTAGCAATCAGTTTTCACTTGATATATTGTGGTAGGGCTGATAAACTGTGCCTGGTCCCTGTTTTTTTTTTGGTTTTTTACACAGTAGTTGTATATAAATAATTTGTTATCAGTTTAACATGTCACAGTCAACAAAATGACCCTTTGTACTATTGATGTCCTACTGACGTCCTACCGACGTACTACTGATGTCCCAGTGACATCCATTGATACAGAAAACAATATCATTTTACAGATCAGAGCTTCATCTCCCTCCCACACACACTTTTATGTGTTTCCAAACAAAAACAGAACTTTTAAATGAAACATATGAAAAGCAAGTAAATTTTTTTTTAAAATATTTCACTATGATCACAAGAGTACAACTGTATGTATCGTTAGTTAATTTGTAATAGAAGGATAACTCGTTTTTCCTGTGTGAGTTCACTGATGTTTGTTTCTGTTGCATTAATTTTCACATGTTAAGGTTCACTTTTTATATCATATTTGTGTTGTTATTTGATGTTTTTAGCATTTTAATTTACAAAGCAAATTGTAATTAATTTTTGTATTTACAAAATAAATGTAAAATAACTTACCGGGTACATACTTTAACTTGGTGTAACATCTTTTCATGGAAATGATCATCACCTATGCACAGTTTTGTATTTCTAACAAACATTTTGTAGTAGTAATAATAGGTTTTTTTAAGTGCTTTTGATTAATATTATTTCTTGGTAATAATTCAGTTGGCTGACTTAAATCTATGTTTATTACAACTAAAAGATTATTTTTGTACAGGAATAAATATTTCAGAAAATGTGAAGAACAATTTGTTTTTTGTTCTGTGTATTAATTTAAATTATTAAATCTAACATTGAAATGTATATACAGTTTAAAATTTTGTTGAATATTATCCTAGTTTCCTCACCAGAAAAATGTTTCCATTCTTTCCTTGTGTCCAATCTTCCATTATCTGTTAAATGTACATTAAGCTACAGATACCAAATTTTAGGAACTCTTATTGTACTTGAAAGGAGTTCTATGTTCTGTCCAGAATTACTTCTCTTGGTTAATAAACTACTGTAAGTGCTAACTAAGTACACCTTTATTATCAAGAACAGTTTAACTAAGTTACTGTAAGAGCTATGTACTATCAACAACAGTTTGTTTGTCTACATTACTGTAGGAACTATTACATACTAGTGTACTGACAACTGTTTATATACATCTGTACCGGAGATAGTTTATTCAGGTTACTGTAGGAGCTGATAAGGTACAAATGCACTGATAACAACAGTTAATGCCAATTACTGTAGGAACTGATCAGGTAAAATTTTTAGCAAAGGGCAGTAACTCTGTAATTTAGGGGTGGCTGGCTTTACATTTAGTTTACTGCACATGTCCTTAATATGACAAATGTATACACCAAGTTTCATGATCCTAAATTAACTGTGGGCAAAGTCGGACATGAAGGCAATATATGCTCCTACTGAAGAATTTCGAGGAGCATAAAAATGTATTGATGATAGTTTACTCAGATTACTTTAGCAGCTGATTAGGTACAACTACACTGACAACAGAAGTTTATTCAAATTACTGTGGGAGCTGACTCGGTAGAAATGTACTGGTGACAGTTTACTTATGTCACTTTTGGAGTTGACTTGGTACACCTGTACTGACATTGACAGTTTATCCATGTTACTGTAGGAGCTGACTAGGTACATTTGTTACCTCAGAGGCTGACTTGGTACACTTGTTACCTCAGAGGCTGACTAGGTACACATGTTACCTCAGAAGCTGACTTGGTACACTTGTTAACTCAGAAGCTGACTAGGTACACTTGTTACCTCAAAGGCTGACTAGGTACACTTGTTACCTCAGAAGCTGTCTAGGAACACATGTTACCTCAGAAGCTGTGTAGGTACATTTGTTACCTCAGAAGCTGTCTAGGTACACTTGTAACCTCAGAAGCTGACTAGGTACACTTGTTACCTCAGAAGCTGTCTAGGTACATTTGTTACCTCAGAAGCTGACTTGGTACACTTGTTAACTCAGAAGCTGACTAGGTGCACTTGTTACTTCAGAAGCTGTCTAGGTCCACTTGTTAACTCAGATGCTGACTAGGTACACTTGTTACTTCAGAAGCTGACTTGGTACACTTGTTAACTCAGAAGCTGACTAGGTACACTTGTTAACTCAGAAGCTGTCTAGGTCCACTTGTTACCTCAGAGGCTGACTAGGTCCACTTGTTACTTCAGATGCTGTCTAGGTACACTTGTTACCTCAGAAGCTGACTAGGTACACTTGTTACCTCAGAGGCTGACTAGGTACACATGTTACCTCAGAAGCTGACTTGGTACACTTGTTACCTCAGAGGCTGTCTAGGTACAAGGCTGACTAGGTACACTTGTTACCTCAGAAGCTGTCTAGGTACACATGTTACCTCAGAAGCTGTGTAGGTACATTTGTTACCTCAGAAGCTGTCTAGGTAAACTTGTTACCTCAGAAGCTGACTAGGTACACTTGTTACCTCAGAGGCTGACTAGGTACACTTGTTACCTCAGAGGCTGACTAGGTACACTTGTTACCTCAGAAGCTGTCAAGGTACACTTGTTACCTCAGAGTCTCTAGGTCCACTTGTTACTTCAGATGCTGACTAGGTACACTTGTTACCTCAGAAGCTGTCAAGGTACACTTGTTACCTCAGAGTCTCTAGGTCCACTTGTTACTTCAGATGCTGACTAGGTACACTTGTTACCTCAGAAGCTGACTAGGTACACTTGTTACCTCAGAGGCTGACTAGGTACACTTGTTACCTCAGAAGCTGACTAGGTACACTTGTTACCTCAGAGGCTGACTAGGTACACTTGTTACCTCAGAAGCTGTCTAGGTACACTTGTTACTTCAGAAGCTGACTAGGTACACTTGTTACCTCAGAAGCTGACTAGGTACACTTGTTACCTCAAAGGCTGACTAGGTACACTTGTTACCTCAGAAGCTGTCTAGGTACACATGTTACCTCAGAAGCTGTGTAGGTACATTTGTTACCTCAGAAGCTGTCTAGGTACACTTGTTACATCAGAAGCTGAGTAGGTACATTTGTTACCTCAGAGGCTGACTAGGTACACTTGTTACCTCAGAGGCTGACTAGGTACACTTGTTACCTCAGAGGCTGACTAGGTACACTTGTTACCTCAAAGACTGACTAGGTACACTTGTTACCTCAGAAGCTGTCTAGGTACACTTGTTACCTCAGAAGCTGTCTAGGTACACATGTTACCTCAGAAGCTGACTTGGTACACTTGTTACCTCAGAGGCAGTCTAGGTACACTTGTTACCTCAGAGTCTCTAGGTACACTTGTAACCTCAGAGGCTGACTAGGTACACTTGTTACCTCAGAAGCTGACTAGGTACACTTGTTACCTCAGAAGCTGACTTGGTACACTTGTTACCTCAGAGGCTACACTTGTTACCTCAGAAGCTGTACACTTGTTACCTCAGAAGCTGACTAGGTACACTTGTTACCTCAGAGGCTGACTAGGTACACTTGTTACCTCAGAAGCTGACTAGGTACACTTGTTACCTCAGAAGCTCTAGGTACACATGTTTCCTCAGAGGTTGACTAGGTACCTTGTTACCTTGTATTAGTTAAGACAAGTTAACACGACGACAACTTGCAGTTGAATGACGTCACATTACTGTCCTGTGATAGCGTCATGAATTTTGAGCGGTTTTTAGGATCAATTCTGACAAAGTTAGAGAAAATAACTGACAATGACCCATATAAAGGTCACAGGGGTCAAATTTGTCAAAACCTGAAAACTTCATCTTCTAATTAACCAGGGACGTATAATATCTGCCTCTACAGGTGTATGATATTAAGCTGAATTCCAGCGAAAACCTGAAAACGACTTCTGATTAACCAAAAGGCCCAGAAGCATGATATTTGACTGGTAAATATCTGGGATAAAGCCTGGCAACGTTTGCAAAAATAAATTACCTTTAACCATATTCAATGTTACAGGAGTCAAAGACTTCTTCTGGCAATCCCGAAAATTCAAATAACTAAATTGAAGCAAAGAAGAAGTTGGTTAAAAATGATTTGATATGCCAACGTTGATGCCAATGGCGCATGTGATAATGAATTTGTAATGAACATTGAATACCAGGTAATGAGATGGGAGATGCATGCCCTTTGTACGGTATTGTGGCTAATTCTGCCATTTCGTTGTTTCGTTTTGTCGTCCTGACGGAACGATAATCGTCGTTTTTTCGCCCCGTTAATTACCGTCATTTGGCAGCAACATAACGAAAAGACGCTATAACTCAAAGCGAAATAACGAAATTTTAAAGTAGTTCTCCCATAAAAAATCTACATATATAGTTTTGTTCGTTATATTGTTATTGTCTTTATTTTAAGTATGGGTGCAAAAGGACTAAGACCACAATTAATTTCACTATATGTTTCATTGTAACATTAAAATTCATAACTAAGTCCCAAAGTTTCATCTGCAAATTTCCATTTCACCTGGCCAAGATCAACATCTGAGAAGCAAAATGTAAAAGTTTCAACCCATCATGTTGGGCATTTTCTGGAGATATACCTCCATGTGTGTCACCAACGTCAATTATATACATCCGGGTCAGGGGTAAAGGTGAAAACAGGACTTTTTACACCGGATCCTGCAGCACAAAATACATGTTCAATATGAATGATTTACACACTGACAGCTAGATTATCATCTCTATAACACATCTACAGCAAATTTATAGGCAAACATCCAATTCAAAGAGGCATATTATTTTATTCCCAAATATACATACATTTTTTAAGGATTTATTCATGGGTACTGAACCCGGAAGTATTTAATTGTGGTCTTAGTCTTATTATAGGACACTTGTTTTTTTTTTAATTTAAAAAAAAATATTTTCATCAACTGTGAGCTATTTCAAACATTTCGGCATAAACAGAATCAGCGTAGGTCAAATAAAACAGGAGTTATGAAGAATTGAAAAACCCCTCTCAGACTGAGATTTTAACTCAGCTTTACATACACTTTGCTGTACATATCACAGACACCAATCGTCAGGAAAAATGAAACAGATTTTGCAATTATTAAGATATTTCAGTTCTGTAAATTGGTATATAAACTTGAATAATTCCTACATATAACTATACAAAAAAGTTTTTCAATTTCAAATTACAACTTCATTTTTTTTCGTAGAATTTTAATTTTTTTTTTAAATTACCAAATTTTAATATTAACTGAACATTTAATCTGCTTTAAAGCATTTTTCAGCTTTGATTTGGACATGAAATAATCAATAGATAACAGTGAAGACTTGCAGTAAACAATCACAGTGAATGACACCCACTGGACTAACTAACATGTATACATACAAAGACTATCCATGCCAAAGGCAGGGGAGGGTGGGGGGGGGGTGTTCTCTTTGGGCCTTTATGTTTACTTTTGGGGCTCTCCCTGTCTCTGAAACACCTTTGATGTTATATTATAAAACAGGCAATGATGTGTATATCACAATGACCAATCAAATGGTCAGCTTCAGTTTGATTTTTGTATTCTTAATACATCTGACTACTTCTGACTGACCACTGCTGACCACTGCTGACCACTACTGACCATTACTGACCATTACTGACCATTACCAATATGAAGGGAGACAGAAAGAGAAGGAACAATTATTTCAAGCCTGCAAATGTTCCAAAGAATAAGGGCCAGGTATTTAAAGTTGAAGATCCTGAGGTACCTGTCACCAGAGAAGAGAGACCAGCTCTGACCAGAAGACTGACCACCCAGGAATTTCAGCTGATCGCCAAGCCCAGTCCTGACGGCCTTTCCCTGGTAACAACAGATACTGGAGACAGACCATGTCCAACACGGATACTACGGCCAGCAACTGTTACAGCTGAAGAATCCAACTCTGAGCCTGTAATAGAAGGAAACCGGATCATCGACATAGTGTTGATGGTGAAAATGTGGAACGACATCATCAGACTTCACGCCGGACAACCAAACACTACATCATGCATGGTACCGGAGTTTGAACTGGACACCAAGCGGAAAAGGGCTCTGGGATGGAGTTGTGCTGTTCGATGTAATAAATGCCAGTACAGATCTCCATTGTACAAACTATATAGAGAGGCAGACACGGGTAAGCCCGGACCAAAGCCAGCCCTTGTCAACAAGTACCTGCCTTCAGCTTTGTGTGGCCAGGCTGTCAGCACCAAAGGAGCCAGGTTACTTCTCGGACACCTGAATATACCTGCAGGAGCCAAGATTGGAATGCAGCGACAGGCAAATCAAGTGTCCAAGGACATTACTGCCCTCAACAAAAAGGACATGTCCGAGAAGACCAGACTGGTGGTGGAGGCCAACACCCTGAGAGGAGATGATTCCCCGAGCACCATCGGACTAGCTGTGGATGGGCGGTACAACAGCACATCATTTGGAAGTGCTAAGAAGCCAGAGATGAATGCCTCACAGGGGTTAAGTCTGGGTATCGAGACATCTACCCCTAAGAAGTGGATACTTAGACGTGCTCTCCACAACAAACTTTACTGGACAGGAGCTTGGCTGAGATGGAAAGGATATGATGTCACCTGTCCTGGTGGTCATCCTGACTACACAGCCAACACTGACCGACACGACGGCTTGTCCGAGTATGCCATGGGAAAGGACATTGGGGATCAACTGGCTACACAAGGCGTGCTAATAAAATATGCAACCACAGATGGCGATGGAACTGGAGCCCAAGGCCTGGAGGAAGCCATGAGAGCCTTACATCCCACGTGGAAAGTGGAGAGACTGGCTGACCCAACCCACCTTGGCAGAGCACAATTCCGGAAATGTAACAGTGCTAAGTGGAGCGAGTCAATGTTTCCTGGTCGTACCAGACTGATGAGGTCTCATGCTCAGAAGGTATTTTCTCAAGACTTGAAAGCCCGGAGCAGTCTGATTTTCAAGGAATTGATGAAAATTCACTCCAGAGACATTGAGACTATCACGACTCATTTACCTGCAGTGTTAGATGCAACTGTATCCTGCTACACAGGTGACTGCTCCAAGTGCAAGCAGCATTCCGTGGTGTGCTCTGGTGGTGACAGCGACAACTGGTGGGTGCGATCAATGTTCCTGAGTTCAAACCAGATCCATCAACTTCAAATGACATCGGAGGATGAGATGTTGGTGTTGGAGCTTCTGAAAATGAAACTCAGCACTGATGTTATTCGATCTATGAGACTCAGCACATCCACACAGAAAAATGAGGGTTGTCACAGAAGCCTGAATGTGTCTTTACCAAAACATCAGAATTTTGGAAGAAATGCTGAGGGGAGGTTAGACAATGCCATTCTGACCCTAAACAACACTGCAGGGAAAGCCATTCAAAAGAAGCTGGAACACTTTGGTGGTAATCTGAGTAGGGAGGTCAAACATAAACTTGATCAACTCAGCTCAGAGGAAATATATCAACGCCAGCACCAATACAAACCTGCTGTCAAGAAAACAAGTATGTTGTTGTTAGCAGAACAGCACAAGCAGCATGCGAAAAGGTCCAGGTCCGCTTGGAAGTCTGACTACAGGAGAGGTCAGCTAGATCCCAACATCCATCCATGTAGGGAAGACAACCGACCTCAGGACCACCTGTATTGAGAAGAAGAGGTGACAACAAATTTATTAGAGACATGTCAACTATCAGAAAAAAAACACAAAATAATGTAACAACAACGGCAACAACAACAACAAAATATATGACTACCTAATGAGGGAACCTCCACGTGGTGGTAGTCGGACAATGTTGTATACATCAGTGTACAATAGCTAATACCCTCAAATCAATAAAAACTTAATTACATTTTCAAATTCAACATGCAGTCACTGAACCCTAAATGACCATAACACACATTTGAATTTAAACAGTACTGCCTGTAATTACTTATAAAATGAGGTTCTGAACTTATGTGCTCTACATTTACACATAAACTATTATGACAGAGATGGGAACAGTCCAGATCACTTGACAATTCTAAATTTTCAGAAAAACAAATAAAAGCAAGTCTGTGTGCATGTTTCTTTTTCCATTTTAAATCACTGGGGTCCTTAAATGACAGAATTCCATATTTCCCTGTCCTTGTTACAGGTCCAATCCAAATCCTACACAAGCCATTATCTGGGCTAACCACAGAATTTTCTAAGATCTTGTACTTGTATAATTTGAAAAAAATCCTCCATCTTAACTTTTAAAAAAAAAAAAGGCGTGGTCATCCTGACTGCACAGCCAACACTGACCGACACGACAGCTTGTCCGAGTATGCCATGGGAAAGGACATTGGGGATCAACTGGCTACACAAGGCGTGCTAATAAAATATGCAACCACAGATGGCGATGGAACTGGAGCCCAAGGCCTGGAGGAAGCCATGAGAGCCTTACATCCTATGTGGAAAGTGGAGAGACTGGCTGACCCAACCCACCTTGGCAGAGCACAGTTCCGGAAATGTAACAGTGCTAAGTGGAGCGAGTCAATGTTTCCTGGTCGTACCAGACTGATGAGGTCTCATGCTCAGAAGGTATTTTCTCAAGACTTGAAAGCCCGGAGCAGTCTGATTTTCAAGGAATTGATGAAAATTCACTCCAGAGACATTGAGACTATCACGACTCGTTTACCTGCAGTGTTAGATGCAACTGTATCCTGCTACACAGGTGACTGCTCCAAGTGCAAGCAGCATTCCGTGGTGTGCTCTGGTGGTGACAGCGACAACTGGTGGGTGCGATCAATGTTCCTGAGTTCAAACCAGATCCATCAACTTCAAATGACATCGGAGGACGAGATGTTGATGTTGGAGCTTCTGAAAATGAAACTCAGCACTGATGTTATTCGATCTATGAGACTCAGCACATCCACACAGAAAAATGAGGGTTGTCACAGAAGCCTGAATGTGTCTTTACCAAAACATCAGAATTTTGGAAGAAATGCTGAGGGGAGGTTAGACAATGCCATTCTGACCCTAAACAACACTGCAGGGAAAGCCATTCAAAAGAAGCTGGAACACTTTGGTGGTAATCTGAGTAGGGAGGTCAAACATAAACTTGATCAACTCAGCTCAGAGGAAATATATCAACGCCAGCACCAATACAAACCTGCTGTCAAGAAAACAAGTATGTTGTTGTTAGCAGAACAGCACAAGCAGCATGCGAAAAGGTCCAGGTCCGCTTGGAAGTCTGACTACAGGAGAGGTCAGCTAGATCCCAACATCCATCCATGTAGGGAAGACAACCGACCTCAGGACCACCTGTATTGAGGTGACAACAAATTTATTAGAGACATGTCAACAATCAGAAAAAAAACACAAAATAATGTAACAACAACAGCAACAACAACAACAAAATATATGACTACCTAATGAGGGAACCTCCACGTGGTGGTAGTCGGACAATGTTGTATACATCAGTGTACAATAGCTAATACCCTCAAATCAATAAAAACTTAATTACATTTTCAAATTCAACATGCAGTCACTGAACCCTTAATGACCATAACACACATTTGAATTTAAACAGTACTGCCTGTTATTATTTATAAAATGAAGTTCTGAACTTATGAGCTCTACATTTACACATAAACTATTATGACAGAGATGGGAACAGTCCAGATCACTTGACAATTCTAAATTTTCAGAAAAACAAATAAAAGCAAGTCTGTGTGCATGTTTCTTTTTCCATTTTAAATCACTGGGGTCCTTAAATGACAGAATTCCATATTTCCCTGTCCTTGTTACAGGTCCAATCCAAATCCTACACAAGCCATTATCTGGGCTAACCACAGAATTTTCTAAGATCTTGTACTTGTATAATTTGAAAATCCTCCATCTTAACTTTTAAAAAAAATCACTCCATCTTAAAAATTTTTTAAAAATTCAAAATTAAAAGGCCTTTATGTTTACTTTTGCTCTCCCTGTCTCTGAAACACCTTTGATTATCAAACAGGCAATGACGTGTATATCACAATGACCAATCAAATGGTCAGCTTCAGTTTGATTTTTGTATTCTTAATACATCTGACTACACTGACCACTGCTGACCACACTGCTGACCACTACTGACCATTACTGACCATTACCAATATGAAGGGAGACAGAAAGAGAAGGAACAATTATTTCAAGCCTGGAAATGTTCCAAAGAAGGAAGGGCCAGGTATTTAAAGTTGAAGATCCTGAGGTACCTGTCAGCTGACCAGAAGCTACAGGAAAGCTGATCACCAAGCCCAGTCCTGACGGCCTTTCCCTGGTAACAACAGATACTGGAGACAGACCATGTCCAACACGGATACTACGGCCAGCAACTGTTACAGCTGAAGAATCCAACTCTGAGCCTGTAATAGAAGGGAACCAGATCATCGACATAGTGTTGATGGTGAAAATGTGGAACGACATCATCAGACTTCACGCCGGACAACCAAACACTACATCATGCATGGTACCGGAGTTTGAACTGGACACCGAGCGGAAAAGGGCTCTGGGATGGAGTTGTGCTGTTCGATGTAATAAATGCCAGTACAGATCTCCTTGTACAAACTATATAGAGAGGCAGACACGGTAAGCCCGGACCAAATGTCAACAAGTACCTGCCTTCAGCTTTGTGTGGCCAGGCTGTCAGCACCAAAGGAGCCAGGTTTTCGGACACCTGAATATACCTGCAGGAGCCAAGAGTGGAATGCAGCGACAGGCAAATCAAATGTCCAAGGACATTACTGCCCTCAACAAAAAGGACATGTCCGAGAAGACCAGACTGGTGGTGGAGGCCAACACCCTGAGAGGAGATGATTCCCCGAGCACCATCGGACTAGCTGTGGATGGGCGGTACAACAGCACATCATTTGGAAGTGCTAAGAAGCCAGGGATGAATGCCTCACAGGGGTTAAGTCTGGGTATCGAGACATCTACCCCTAAGAAGTGGATACTTGGACGTGCCCTCCACAACAAACTTTGCTGGACAGGAGCTTGGCTGAGAGGGAAAGGATATGATGTCACCTGTCCTGGTGGTCATCCTGACTGCAGAGCCAACACTGACCGACACGACGGCTTGTCCTGCAGTATGCCATGGGAAAGGACATTGCGGATCAACTGGCTACACAAGGCGTGCTAATAAAATATGCAACCACAGATGGCGATGGAACTGGAAAGGCCTGGAGGAAGCCATGAGAGCCTTACATCCCATGTGGAAAGTGGAGAGACTGGCTGTGGCAGAGCACAGTTCGGAAATGTAACAGTGCTAAGTGGAGCGAGTCGACAACTGATGAGGTCTCATGCTCAGAAGGTATCAAGACTTGAAAGCCCGGAGCAGTCTGATTTTCAAGGAATTGATGAAAATTCACTCCAGAGACATTGAGACTATCACGACTCATTTACCTGCAGTGTTAGATGCAACTGTATCCCGCTACACAGGTGACTGCTCCAAGTGCAAGCAGCATTCCGTGGTGTGCTCTGGTGGTGACAGCGACAACTGGTGGGTGCGATCAATGTTCCTGAGTTCAAACCAGATCCATCAACTTCAAATGACATTGGAGCTTCTGAAAATGAAACTCAGCACTGATGTTATTCGATCTATGAGACTCAGCACATCCACACAGAAAAATGAGGGTTGTCACAGAAGCCTGAATGTGTCTTTACCAAAACATCAGAATTTTGGAAGAAATGCTGAGGGGAGGTTAGACAATGCCATTCTGACCCTAAACAACACTGCAGGGAAAGCCATTCAAAAGAAGCTGGAACACTTTGGTGGTACTCTGAGTAGGGAGGTCAAACATAAACTTGATCAACTCAGCTCAGAGGAAATATATCAACGCCAGCACCAATACAAACCTGCTGTCAAGAAAACAAGTATGTTGTTGTTAGCAGAACAGCACAAGCAGCATGCGAAAAGGTCCAGGTCCGCTTGGAAGTCTGACTACAGGAGAGGTCAGCTAGATCCCAACATCCATCCATGTAGGGAAGACAACCGACCTCAGGACCACCTGTATTGAGGTGACAACAAATTTATTAGAGACATGTCAACAATCAGAAAAAAAACACAAAATAATGTAACAACAACAGCAACAACAACAACAAAATATATGACTACCTAATGAGGGAACCTCCACGTGGTGGTAGTCGGACAATGTTGTATACATCAGTGTACAATAGCTAATACCCTCAAATCAATAAAAACTTAATTACATTTTCAAATTCAACATGCAGTCACTGAACCCTAAATGACCATAACACACATTTGAATTCAAACAGTACTGCCTGTTATTATTTATAAAATGAAGTTCTGAACTTATGTGCTCTACATTTACACATAAACTATTATGACAGAGATGGGAACAGTCCAGATCACTTGACAATTCTAAATTTTCAGAAAAACAAATAAAAGCAAGTCTGTGTGCATGTTTCTTTTTCCATTTTAAATCACTGGGGTCCTTAAATGACAGAATTCCATATTTCCCTGTCCTTGTTACAGGTCCAATCCAAATCCTACACAAGCCATTATCTGGGCTAACCACAGAATTTTCTAAGATCTTGTACTTGTATAATTTGAAAAAAAATCCTCCATCTTAACTTTTAAAAAAAAAAAAGGCGTGGTCATCCTGACTGCACAGCCAACACTGACCGACACGACGGCTTGTCCGAGTATGCCATGGGAAAGGACATTGGGGATCAACTGGCTACACAAGGCGTGCTAATAAAATATGCAACCACAGATGGCGATGGAACTGGAGCCCAAGGCCTGGAGGAAGCCATGAGAGCCTTACATCCCATGTGGAAAGTGGAGAGACTGGCTGACCCAACCCACCTTGGCAGAGCACAGTTCCGGAAATGTAACAGTGCTAAGTGGAGCGAGTCAATGTTTCCTGGTCGTACCAGACTGATGAGGTCTCATGCTCAGAAGGTATTTTCTCAAGACTTGAAAGCCGGGAGCAGTCTGATTTTCAAGGAATTGATGAAAATTCACTCCAGAGACATTGAGACTATCACGACTCGTTTACCTGCAGTGTTAGATGCAACTGTATCCTGCTACACAGGTGACTGCTCCAAGTGCAAGCAGCATTCCGTGGTGTGCTCTGGTGGTGACAGCGACAACTGGTGGGTGCGATCAATGTTCCTGAGTTCAAACCAGATCCATCAACTTCAAATGACATCGGAGGATGAGATGTTGATGTTGGAGCTTCTGAAAATGAAACTCAGCACTGATGTTATTCGATCTATGAGACTCAGCACATCCACACAGAAAAATGAGGGTTGTCACAGAAGCCTGAATGTGTCTTTACCAAAACATCAGAATTTTGGAAGAAATGCTGAGGGGAGGTTAGACAATGCCATTCTGACCCTAAACAACACTGCAGGGAAAGCCATTCAAAAGAAGCTGGAACACTTTGGTGGTAATCTGAGTAGGGAGGTCAAACATAAACTTGATCAACTCAGCTCAGAGGAAATATATCAACGCCAGCACCAATACAAACCTGCTGTCAAGAAAACAAGTATGTTGTTGTTAGCAGAACAGCACAAGCAGCATGCGAAAAGGTCCAGGTCCGCTTGGAAGTCTGACTACAGGAGAGGTCAGCTAGATCCCAACATCCATCCATGTAGGGAAGACAACCGACCTCAGGACCACCTGTATTGAGGTGACAACAAATTCATTAGAGACATGTCAACAATCAGAAAAAAAACACAAAATAATGTAACAACAACAGCAACAACAACAACAAAATATATGACTACCTAATGAGGGAACCTCCACGTGGTGGTAGTCGGACAATGTTGTATACATCAGTGTACAATAGCTAATACCCTCAAATCAATAAAAACTTAATTACATTTTCAAATTCAACATGCAGTCACTGAACCCTAAATGACCATAACACACATTTGAATTCAAACAGTACTGCCTGTTATTATTTATAAAATGAAGTTCTGAACTTATGTGCTCTACATTTACACATAAACTATTATGACAGAGATGGGAACAGTCCAGATCACTTGACAATTCTAAATTTTCAGAAAAACAAATAAAAGCAAGTCTGTGTGCATGTTTCTTTTTCCATTTTAAATCACTGGGGTCCTTAAATGACAGAATTCCATATTTCCCTGTCCTTGTTACAGGTCCAATCCAAATCCTACACAAGCCATTATCTGGGCTAACCACAGAATTTTCTAAGATCTTGTACTTGTATAATTTGAAAAAAAATCCTCCATCTTAACTTTTTAAAAAAAAAAAGGCGTGGTCATCCTGACTGCACAGCCAACACTGACCGACACGACGGCTTGTCCGAGTATGCCATGGGAAAGGACATTGGGGATCAACTGGCTACACAAGGCGTGCTAATAAAATATGCAACCACAGATGGCGATGGAACTGGAGCCCAAGGCCTGGAGGAAGCCATGAGAGCCTTACATCCCATGTGGAAAGTGGAGAGACTGGCTGACCCAACCCACCTTGGCAGAGCACAGTTCCGGAAATGTAACAGTGCTAAGTGGAGCGAGTCAATGTTTCCTGGTCGTACCAGACTGATGAGGTCTCATGCTCAGAAGGTATTTTCTCAAGACTTGAAAGCCGGGAGCAGTCTGATTTTCAAGGAATTGATGAAAATTCACTCCAGAGACATTGAGACTATCACGACTCGTTTACCTGCAGTGTTAGATGCAACTGTATCCTGCTACACAGGTGACTGCTCCAAGTGCAAGCAGCATTCCGTGGTGTGCTCTGGTGGTGACAGCGACAACTGGTGGGTGCGATCAATGTTCCTGAGTTCAAACCAGATCCATCAACTTCAAATGACATCGGAGGATGAGATGTTGATGTTGGAGCTTCTGAAAATGAAACTCAGCACTGATGTTATTCGATCTATGAGACTCAGCACATCCACACAGAAAAATGAGGGTTGTCACAGAAGCCTGAATGTGTCTTTACCAAAACATCAGAATTTTGGAAGAAATGCTGAGGGGAGGTTAGACAATGCCATTCTGACCCTAAACAACACTGCAGGGAAAGCCATTCAAAAGAAGCTGGAACACTTTGGTGGTAATCTGAGTAGGGAGGTCAAACATAAACTTGATCAACTCAGCTCAGAGGAAATATATCAACGCCAGCACCAATACAAACCTGCTGTCAAGAAAACAAGTATGTTGTTGTTAGCAGAACAGCACAAGCAGCATGCGAAAAGGTCCAGGTCCGCTTGGAAGTCTGACTACAGGAGAGGTCAGCTAGATCCCAACATCCATCCATGTAGGGAAGACAACCGACCTCAGGACCACCTGTATTGAGGTGACAACAAATTTATTAGAGACATGTCAACAATCAGAAAAAAAACACAAAATAATGTAACAACAACAGCAACAACAACAACAAAATATATGACTACCTAATGAGGGAACCTCCACGTGGTGGTAGTCGGACAATGTTGTATACATCAGTGTACAATAGCTAATACCCTCAAATCAATAAAAACTTAATTACATTTTCAAATTCAACATGCAGTCACTGAACCCTAAATGACCATAACACACATTTGAATTCAAACAGTACTGCCTGTTATTATTTATAAAATGAAGTTCTGAACTTATGTGCTCTACATTTACACATAAACTATTATGACAGAGATGGGAACAGTCCAGATCACTTGACAATTCTAAATTTTCAGAAAAACAAATAAAAGCAAGTCTGTGTGCATGTTTCTTTTTCCATTTTAAATCACTGGGGTCCTTAAATGACAGAATTCCATATTTCCCTGTCCTTGTTACAGGTCCAATCCAAATCCTACACAAGCCATTATCTGGGCTAACCACAGAATTTTCTAAGATCTTGTACTTGTATAATTTGAAAAAAAATCCTCCATCTTAACTTTTTAAAAAAAAAAAGACATGGTCATCCTGACTGCACAGCCAACACTGACCGACACGACGGCTTGTCCGAGTATGCCATGGGAAAGGACATTGGGGATCAACTGGCTACACAAGGCGTGCTAATAAAATATGCAACCACAGATGGCGATGGAACTGGAGCCAAAGGCCTGGAGGAAGCCATGAGAGCCTTACATCCCATGTGGAAAGTGGAGAGACTGGCTGACCCAACCCACCTTGGCAGAGCACAGTTCCGGAAATGTAACAGTGCTAAGTGGAGCGAGTCAATGTTTCCTGGTCGTACCAGACTGATGAGGTCTCATGCTCAGAAGGTATTTTCTCAAGACTTGAAAGCCGGGAGCAGTCTGATTTTCAAGGAATTGATGAAAATTCACTCCAGAGACATTGAGACTATCACGACTCGTTTACCTGCAGTGTTAGATGCAACTGTATCCTGCTACACAGGTGACTGCTCCAAGTGCAAGCAGCATTCCGTGGTGTGCTCTGGTGGTGACAGCGACAACTGGTGGGTGCGATCAATGTTCCTGAGTTCAAACCAGATCCATCAACTTCAAATGACATCGGAGGATGAGATGTTGATGTTGGAGCTTCTGAAAATGAAACTCAGCACTGATGTTATTCGATCTATGAGACTCAGCACATCCACACAGAAAAATGAGGGTTGTCACAGAAGCCTGAATGTGTCTTTACCAAAACATCAGAATTTTGGAAGAAATGCTGAGGGGAGGTTAGACAATGCCATTCTGACCCTAAACAACACTGCAGGGAAAGCCATTCAAAAGAAGCTGGAACACTTTGGTGGTAATCTGAGTAGGGAGGTCAAACATAAACTTGATCAACTCAGCTCAGAGGAAATATATCAACGCCAGCACCAATACAAACCTGCTGTCAAGAAAACAAGTATGTTGTTGTTAGCAGAACAGCACAAGCAGCATGCGAAAAGGTCCAGGTCAGCTTGGAAGTCTGACTACAGGAGAGGTCAGCTAGATCCCAACATCCATCCATGTAGGGAAGACAACCGACCTCAGGACCACCTGTATTGAGGTGACAACAAATTTATTAGAGACATGTCAACAATCAGAAAAAAAACACAAAATAATGTAACAACAACAGCAACAACAACAACAAAATATATGACTACCTAATGAGGGAACCTCCACGTGGTGGTAGTCGGACAATGTTGTATACATCAGTGTACAATAGCTAATACCCTCAAATCAATAAAAACTTAATTACATTTTCAAATTCAACATGCAGTCACTGAACCCTAAATGACCATAACACACATTTGAATTCAAACAGTACTGCCTGTTATTATTTATAAAATGAAGTTCTGAACTTATGTGCTCTACATTTACACATAAACTATTATGACAGAGATGGGAACAGTCCAGATCACTTGACAATTCTAAATTTTCAGAAAAACAAATAAAAGCAAGTCTGTGTGCATGTTTCTTTTTCCATTTTAAATCACTGGGGTCCTTAAATGACAGAATTCCATATTTCCCTGTCCTTGTTACAGGTCCAATCCAAATCCTACACAAGCCATTATCTGGGCTAACCACAGAATTTTCTAAGATCTTGTACTTGTATAATTTGAAAAAAATCCTCCATCTTAACTTTTTAAAAAAAAAAAAAAAAAGGCATGGTCATCCTGACTGCACAGCCAACACTGACCGACACGACGGCTTGTCCGAGTATGCCATGGGAAAGGACATTGGGGATCAACTGGCTACACAAGGCGTGCTAATAAAATATGCAACCACAGATGGCGATGGAACTGGAGCCAAAGGCCTGGAGGAAGCCATGAGAGCCTTACATCCCATGTGGAAAGTGGAGAGACTGGCTGACCCAACCCACCTTGGCAGAGCACAGTTCCGGAAATGTAACAGTGCTAAGTGGAGCGAGTCAATGTTTCCTGGTCGTACCAGACCGATGAGGTCTCATGCTCAGAAGGTATTTTCTCAAGACTTGAAAGCCGGGAGCAGTCTGATTTTCAAGGAATTGATGAAAATTCACTCCAGAGACATTGAGACTATCACGACTCGTTTACCTGCAGTGTTAGATGCAACTGTATCCTGCTACACAGGTGACTGCTCCAAGTGCAAGCAGCATTCCGTGGTGTGCTCTGGTGGTGACAGCGACAACTGGTGGGTGCGATCAATGTTCCTGAGTTCAAACCAGATCCATCAACTTCAAATGACATCGGAGGATGAGATGTTGATGTTGGAGCTTCTGAAAATGAAACTCAGCACTGATGTTATTCGATCTATGAGACTCAGCACATCCACACAGAAAAATGAGGGTTGTCACAGAAGCCTGAATGTGTCTTTACCAAAACATCAGAATTTTGGAAGAAATGCTGAGGGGAGGTTAGACAATGCCATTCTGACCCTAAACAACACTGCAGGGAAAGCCATTCAAAAGAAGCTGGAACACTTTGGTGGTAATCTGAGTAGGGAGGTCAAACATAAACTTGATCAACTCAGCTCAGAGGAAATATATCAACGCCAGCACCAATACAAACCTGCTGTCAAGAAAACAAGTATGTTGTTGTTAGCAGAACAGCACAAGCAGCATGCGAAAAGGTCCAGGTCCGCTTGGAAGTCTGACTACAGGAGAGGTCAGCTAGATCCCAACATCCATCCATGTAGGGAAGACAACCGACCTCAGGACCACCTGTATTGAGGTGACAACAAATTTATTAGAGACATGTCAACAATCAGAAAAAAAACACAAAATAATGTAACAACAACAGCAACAACAACAACAAAATATATGACTACCTAATGAGGGAACCTCCACGTGGTGGTAGTCGGACAATGTTGTATACATCAGTGTACAATAGCTAATACCCTCAAATCAATAAAAACTTAATTACATTTTCAAATTCAACATGCAGTCACTGAACCCTAAATGACCATAACACACATTTGAATTCAAACAGTACTGCCTGTTATTATTTATAAAATGAAGTTCTGAACTTATGTGCTCTACATTTACACATAAACTATTATGACAGAGATGGGAACAGTCCAGATCACTTGACAATTCTAAATTTTCAGAAAAACAAATAAAAGCAAGTCTGTGTGCATGTTTCTTTTTCCATTTTAAATCACTGGGGTCCTTAAATGACAGAATTCCATATTTCCCTGTCCTTGTTACAGGTCCAATCCAAATCCTACACAAGCCATTATCTGGGCTAACCACAGAATTTTCTAAGATCTTGTACTTGTATAATTTGAAAAAAATCCTCCATCTTAACTTTTTAAAAAAAAAAGGCATGGTCATCCTGACTGCACAGCCAACACTGACCGACACGACGGCTTGTCCGAGTATGCCATGGGAAAGGACATTGGGGATCAACTGGCTACACAAGGCGTGCTAATAAAATATGCAACCACAGATGGCGATGGAACTGGAGCCAAAGGCCTGGAGGAAGCCATGAGAGCCTTACATCCCATGTGGAAAGTGGAGAGACTGGCTGACCCAACCCACCTTGGCAGAGCACAGTTCCGGAAATGTAACAGTGCTAAGTGGAGCGAGTCAATGTTTCCTGGTCGTACCAGACTGATGAGGTCTCATGCTCAGAAGGTATTTTCTCAAGACTTGAAAGCCGGGAGCAGTCTGATTTTCAAGGAATTGATGAAAATTCACTCCAGAGACATTGAGACTATCACGACTCGTTTACCTGCAGTGTTAGATGCAACTGTATCCTGCTACACAGGTGACTGCTCCAAGTGCAAGCAGCATTCCGTGGTGTGCTCTGGTGGTGACAGCGACAACTGGTGGGTGCGATCAATGTTCCTGAGTTCAAACCAGATCCATCAACTTCAAATGACATCGGAGGATGAGATGTTGATGTTGGAGCTTCTGAAAATGAAACTCAGCACTGATGTTATTCGATCTATGAGACTCAGCACATCCACACAGAAAAATGAGGGTTGTCACAGAAGCCTGAATGTGTCTTTACCAAAACATCAGAATTTTGGAAGAAATGCTGAGGGGAGGTTAGACAATGCCATTCTGACCCTAAACAACACTGCAGGGAAAGCCATTCAAAAGAAGCTGGAACACTTTGGTGGTAATCTGAGTAGGGAGGTCAAACATAAACTTGATCAACTCAGCTCAGAGGAAATATATCAACGCCAGCACCAATACAAACCTGCTGTCAAGAAAACAAGTATGTTGTTGTTAGCAGAACAGCACAAGCAGCATGCGAAAAGGTCCAGGTCCGCTTGGAAGTCTGACTACAGGAGAGGTCAGCTAGATCCCAACATCCATCCATGTAGGGAAGACAACCGACCTCAGGACCACCTGTATTGAGGTGACAACAAATTTATTAGAGACATGTCAACAATCAGAAAAAAAAACACAAAATAATGTAACAACAACAGCAACAACAACAACAACAAAATATATGACTACCTAATGAGGGAACCTCCACGTGGTGGTAGTCGGACAATGTTGTATACATCAGTGTACAATAGCTAATACCCTCAAATCAATAAAAACTTAATTACATTTTCAAATTCAACATGCAGTCACTGAACCCTAAATGACCATAACACACATTTGAATTCAAACAGTACTGCCTGTTATTATTTATAAAATGAAGTTCTGAACTTATGTGCTCTACATTTACACATAAACTATTATGACAGAGATGGGAACAGTCCAGATCACTTGACAATTCTAAATTTTCAGAAAAACAAATAAAAGCAAGTCTGTGTGCATGTTTCTTTTTCCATTTTAAATCACTGGGGTCCTTAAATGACAGAATTCCATATTTCCCTGTCCTTGTTACAGGTCCAATCCAAATCCTACACAAGCCAATATCTGGGCTAACCACAGAATTTTCTAAGATCTTGTACTTGTATAATTTGAAAAAAGTCCTCCATCTTAACTTTAAAAAAAAAAAAAAGGCGTGGTCATCCTGACTGCACAGCCAACACTGACCGACACGACGGCTTGTCCGAGTATGCCATGGGAAAGGACATTGGGGATCAACTGGCTACACAAGGCGTGCTAATAAAATATGCAACCACAGATGGCGATGGAACTGGAGCCAAAGGCCTGGAGGAAGCCATGAGAGCCTTACATCCCATGTGGAAAGTGGAGAGACTGGCTGACCCAACCCACCTTGGCAGAGCACAGTTCCGGAAATGTAACAGTGCTAAGTGGAGCGAGTCAATGTTTCCTGGTCGTACCAGACCGATGAGGTCTCATGCTCAGAAGGTATTTTCTCAAGACTTGAAAGCCCGGAGCAGTCTGATTTTCAAGGAATTGATGAAAATTCACTCCAGAGACATTGAGACTATCACGACTCGTTTACCTGCAGTGTTAGATGCAACTGTATCCTGCTACACAGGTGACTGCTCCAAGTGCAAGCAGCATTCCGTGGTGTGCTCTGGTGGTGACAGCGACAACTGGTGGGTGCGATCAATGTTCCTGAGTTCAAACCAGATCCATCAACTTCAAATGACATCGGAGGATGAGATGTTGATGTTGGAGCTTCTGAAAATGAAACTCAGCACTGATGTTATTCGATCTATGAGACTCAGCACATCCACACAGAAAAATGAGGGTTGTCACAGAAGCCTGAATGTGTCTTTACCAAAACATCAGAATTTTGGAAGAAATGCTGAGGGGAGGTTAGACAATGCCATTCTGACCCTAAACAACACTGCAGGGAAAGCCATTCAAAAGAAGCTGGAACACTTTGGTGGTAATCTGAGTAGGGAGGTCAAACATAAACTTGATCAACTCAGCTCAGAGGAAATATATCAACGCCAGCACCAATACAAACCTGCTGTCAAGAAAACAAGTATGTTGTTGTTAGCAGAACAGCACAAGCAGCATGCGAAAAGGTCCAGGTCCGCTTGGAAGTCTGACTACAGGAGAGGTCAGCTAGATCCCAACATCCATCCATGTAGGGAAGACAACCGACCTCAGGACCACCTGTATTGAGGTGACAACAAATTTATTAGAGACATGTCAACAATCAGAAAAAAAACACAAAATAATGTAACAACAACAGCAACAACAACAACAAAATATATGACTACCTAATGAGGGAACCTCCACGTGGTGGTAGTCGGACAATGTTGTATACATCAGTGTACAATAGCTAATACCCTCAAATCAATAAAAACTTAATTACATTTTCAAATTCAACATGCAGTCACTGAACCCTAAATGACCATAACACACATTTGAATTCAAACAGTACTGCCTGTTATTATTTATAAAATGAAGTTCTGAACTTATGTGCTCTACATTTACACATAAACTATTATGACAGAGATGGGAACAGTCCAGATCACTTGACAATTCTAAATTTTCAGAAAAACAAATAAAAGCAAGTCTGTGTGCATGTTTCTTTTTCCATTTTAAATCACTGGGGTCCTTAAATGACAGAATTCCATATTTCCCTGTCCTTGTTACAGGTCCAATCCAAATCCTACACAAGCCATTATCTGGGCTAACCACAGAATTTTCTAAGATCTTGTACTTGTATAATTTGAAAAAAATCCTCCATCTTAACTTTTTAAAAAAAAAAAGGCATGGTCATCCTGACTGCACAGCCAACACTGACCGACACGACGGCTTGTCCGAGTATGCCATGGGAAAGGACATTGGGGATCAACTGGCTACACAAGGCGTGCTAATAAAATATGCAACCACAGATGGCGATGGAACTGGAGCCAAAGGCCTGGAGGAAGCCATGAGAGCCTTACATCCCATGTGGAAAGTGGAGAGACTGGCTGACCCAACCCACCTTGGCAGAGCACAGTTCCGGAAATGTAACAGTGCTAAGTGGAGCGAGTCAATGTTTCCTGGTCGTACCAGACCGATGAGGTCTCATGCTCAGAAGGTATTTTCTCAAGACTTGAAAGCCCGGAGCAGTCTGATTTTCAAGGAATTGATGAAAATTCACTCCAGAGACATTGAGACTATCACGACTCGTTTACCTGCAGTGTTAGATGCAACTGTATCCTGCTACACAGGTGACTGCTCCAAGTGCAAGCAGCATTCCGTGGTGTGCTCTGGTGGTGACAGCGACAACTGGTGGGTGCGATCAATGTTCCTGAGTTCAAACCAGATCCATCAACTTCAAATGACATCGGAGGATGAGATGTTGATGTTGGAGCTTCTGAAAATGAAACTCAGCACTGATGTTATTCGATCTATGAGACTCAGCACATCCACACAGAAAAATGAGGGTTGTCACAGAAGCCTGAATGTGTCTTTACCAAAACATCAGAATTTTGGAAGAAATGCTGAGGGGAGGTTAGACAATGCCATTCTGACCCTAAACAACACTGCAGGGAAAGCCATTCAAAAGAAGCTGGAACACTTTGGTGGTAATCTGAGTAGGGAGGTCAAACATAAACTTGATCAACTCAGCTCAGAGGAAATATATCAACGCCAGCACCAATACAAACCTGCTGTCAAGAAAACAAGTATGTTGTTGTTAGCAGAACAGCACAAGCAGCATGCGAAAAGGTCCAGGTCCGCTTGGAAGTCTGACTACAGGAGAGGTCAGCTAGATCCCAACATCCATCCATGTAGGGAAGACAACCGACCTCAGGACCACCTGTATTGAGGTGACAACAAATTTATTAGAGACATGTCAACAATCAGAAAAAAAACACAAAATAATGTAACAACAACAGCAACAACAACAACAAAATATATGACTACCTAATGAGGGAACCTCCACGTGGTGGTAGTCGGACAATGTTGTATACATCAGTGTACAATAGCTAATACCCTCAAATCAATAAAAACTTAATTACATTTTCAAATTCAACATGCAGTCACTGAACCCTAAATGACCATAACACACATTTGAATTCAAACAGTACTGCCTGTTATTATTTATAAAATGAAGTTCTGAACTTATGTGCTCTACATTTACACATAAACTATTATGACAGAGATGGGAACAGTCCAGATCACTTGACAATTCTAAATTTTCAGAAAAACAAATAAAAGCAAGTCTGTGTGCATGTTTCTTTTTCCATTTTAAATCACTGGGGTCCTTAAATGACAGAATTCCATATTTCCCTGTCCTTGTTACAGGTCCAATCCAAATCCTACACAAGCCATTATCTGGGCTAACCACAGAATTTTCTAAGATCTTGTACTTGTATAATTTGAAAAAAAATCCTCCATCTTAACTTTTTAAAAAAAAAAAAAAGACATGGTCATCCTGACTGCACAGCCAACACTGACCGACACGACGGCTTGTCCGAGTATGCCATGGGAAAGGACATTGGGGATCAACTGGCTACACAAGGCGTGCTAATAAAATATGCAACCACAGATGGCGATGGAACTGGAGCCAAAGGCCTGGAGGAAGCCATGAGAGCCTTACATCCCATGTAAGTGGAGCGAGTCAATGTTTCCTGGTCGTACCAGACCGATGAGGTCTCATGCTCAGAAGGTATTTTCTCAAGACTTGAAAGCCCGGAGCAGTCTGATTTTCAAGGAATTGATGAAAATTCACTCCAGAGACATTGAGACTATCACGACTCGTTTACCTGCAGTGTTAGATGCAACTGTATCCTGCTACACAGGTGACTGCTCCAAGTGCAAGCAGCATTCCGTGGTGTGCTCTGGTGGTGACAGCGACAACTGGTGGGTGCGATCAATGTTCCTGAGTTCAAACCAGATCCATCAACTTCAAATGACATCGGAGGATGAGATGTTGATGTTGGAGCTTCTGAAAATGAAACTCAGCACTGATGTTATTCGATCTATGAGACTCAGCACATCCACACAGAAAAATGAGGGTTGTCACAGAAGCCTGAATGTGTCTTTACCAAAACATCAGAATTTTGGAAGAAATGCTGAGGGGAGGTTAGACAATGCCATTCTGACCCTAAACAACACTGCAGGGAAAGCCATTCAAAAGAAGCTGGAACACTTTGGTGGTAATCTGAGTAGGGAGGTCAAACATAAACTTGATCAACTCAGCTCAGAGGAAATATATCAACGCCAGCACCAATACAAACCTGCTGTCAAGAAAACAAGTATGTTGTTGTTAGCAGAACAGCACAAGCAGCATGCGAAAAGGTCCAGGTCCGCTTGGAAGTCTGACTACAGGAGAGGTCAGCTAGATCCCAACATCCATCCATGTAGGGAAGACAACCGACCTCAGGACCACCTGTATTGAGGTGACAACAAATTTATTAGAGACATGTCAACAATCAGAAAAAAAACACAAAATAATGTAACAACAACAGCAACAACAACAACAAAATATATGACTACCTAATGAGGGAACCTCCACGTGGTGGTAGTCGGACAATGTTGTATACATCAGTGTACAATAGCTAATACCCTCAAATCAATAAAAACTTAATTACATTTTCAAATTCAACATGCAGTCACTGAACCCTAAATGACCATAACACACATTTGAATTCAAACAGTACTGCCTGTTATTATTTATAAAATGAAGTTCTGAACTTATGTGCTCTACATTTACACATAAACTATTATGACAGAGATGGGAACAGTCCAGATCACTTGACAATTCTAAATTTTCAGAAAAACAAATAAAAGCAAGTCTGTGTGCATGTTTCTTTTTCCATTTTAAATCACTGGGGTCCTTAAATGACAGAATTCCATATTTCCCTGTCCTTGTTACAGGTCCAATCCAAATCCTACACAAGCCATTATCTGGGCTAACCACAGAATTTTCTAAGATCTTGTACTTGTATAATTTGAAAAAAAATCCTCCATCTTAACTTTTTTAAAAAAAAAAAGGCGTGGTCATCCTGACTGCACAGCCAACACTGACCGACACGACGGCTTGTCCGAGTATGCCATGGGAAAGGACATTGGGGATCAACTGGCTACACAAGGCGTGCTAATAAAATATGCAACCACAGATGGCGATGGAACTGGAGCCAAAGGCCTGGAGGAAGCCATGAGAGCCTTACATCCCATGTGGAAAGTGGAGAGACTGGCTGACCCAACCCACCTTGGCAGAGCACAGTTCCGGAAATGTAACAGTGCTAAGTGGAGCGAGTCAATGTTTCCTGGTCGTACCAGACCGATGAGGTCTCATGCTCAGAAGGTATTTTCTCAAGACTTGAAAGCCCGGAGCAGTCTGATTTTCAAGGAATTGATGAAAATTCACTCCAGAGACATTGAGACTATCACGACTCGTTTACCTGCAGTGTTAGATGCAACTGTATCCTGCTACACAGGTGACTGCTCCAAGTGCAAGCAGCATTCCGTGGTGTGCTTTGGTGGTGACAGCGACAACTGGTGGGTGCGATCAATGTTCCTGAGTTCAAACCAGATCCATCAACTTCAAATGACATCGGAGGATGAGATGTTGATGTTGGAGCTTCTGAAAATGAAACTCAGCACTGATGTTATTCAATCTATGAGACTCAGCACATCCACACAGAAAAATGAGGGTTGTCACAGAAGCCTGAATGTGTCTTTACCAAAACATCAGAATTTTGGAAGAAATGCTGAGGGGAGGTTAGACAATGCCATTCTGACCCTAAACAACACTGCAGGGAAAGCCATTCAAAAGAAGCTGGAACACTTTGGTGGTAATCTGAGTAGGGAGGTCAAACATAAACTTGATCAACTCAGCTCAGAGGAAATATATCAACGCCAGCACCAATACAAACCTGCTGTCAAGAAAACAAGTATGTTGTTGTTAGCAGAACAGCACAAGCAGCATGCGAAAAGGTCCAGGTCCGCTTGGAAGTCTGACTACAGGAGAGGTCAGCTAGATCCCAACATCCATCCATGTAGGGAAGACAACCGACCTCAGGACCACCTGTATTGAGGTGACAACAAATTTATTAGAGACATGTCAACAATCAGAAAAAAAACACAAAATAATGTAACAACAACAGCAACAACAACAACAAAATATATGACTACCTAATGAGGGAACCTCCACGTGGTGGTAGTCGGACAATGTTGTATACATCAGTGTACAATAGCTAATACCCTCAAATCAATAAAAACTTAATTACATTTTCAAATTCAACATGCAGTCACTGAACCCTAAATGACCATAACACACATTTGAATTCAAACAGTACTGCCTGTTATTATTTATAAAATGAAGTTCTGAACTTATGTGCTCTACATTTACACATAAACTATTATGACAGAGATGGGAACAGTCCAGATCACTTGACAATTCTAAATTTTCAGAAAAACAAATAAAAGCAAGTCTGTGTGCATGTTTCTTTTTCCATTTTAAATCACTGGGGTCCTTAAATGACAGAATTCCATATTTCCCTGTCCTTGTTACAGGTCCAATCCAAATCCTACACAAGCCATTATCTGGGCTAACCACAGAATTTTCTAAGATCTTGTACTTGTATAATTTGAAAAAAATCCTCCATCTTAACTTTTTTAAAAAAAAAAAGGCGTGGTCATCCTGACTGCACAGCCAACACTGACCGACACGACGGCTTGTCCGAGTATGCCATGGGAAAGGACATTGGGGATCAACTGGCTACACAAGGCGTGCTAATAAAATATGCAACCACAGATGGCGATGGAACTGGAGCCAAAGGCCTGGAGGAAGCCATGAGAGCCTTACATCCCATGTGGAAAGTGGAGAGACTGGCTGACCCAACCCACCTTGGCAGAGCACAGTTCCGGAAATGTAACAGTGCTAAGTGGAGCGAGTCAATGTTTCCTGGTCGTACCAGACCGATGAGGTCTCATGCTCAGAAGGTATTTTCTCAAGACTTGAAAGCCCGGAGCAGTCTGATTTTCAAGGAATTGATGAAAATTCACTATTGAGACTATCACGACTCGTTTACCTGCAGTGTTAGATGCAACTATATCCTGCTACACAGGTGACTGCTCCAAGTGCAAGCAGCATTCCGTGCTGTGCCCTGGTGGTGACAGCGACAACTGGTGGGTGCGATCAATGTTCCTGAGTTCAAACCAGATCCATCAACTTCAAATGACATCGGAGGATGAGATGTTGATGTTGGAGCTTCTGAAAATGAAACTCAGCACTGATGTTATTCGATCTATGAGACTCAGCACATCCACACAGAAAAATGAGGGTTGTCACAGAAGCCTGAATGTGTCTTTACCAAAACATCAGAATTTTGGAAGAAATGCTGAGGGGAGGTTAGACAATGCCATTCTGACCCTAAACAACACTGCAGGGAAAGCCATTCAAAAGAAGCTGGAACACTTTGGTGGTAATCTGAGTAGGGAGGTCAAACATAAACTTGATCAACTCAGCTCAGAGGAAATATATCAACGCCAGCACCAATACAAACCTGCTGTCAAGAAAACAAGTATGTTGTTGTTAGCAGAACAGCACAAGCAGCATGCGAAAAGGTCCAGGTCCGCTTGGAAGTCTGACTACAGGAGAGGTCAGCTAGATCCCAACATCCATCCATGTAGGGAAGACAACCGACCTCAGGACCACCTGTATTGAGGTGACAACAAATTTATTAGAGACATGTCAACAATCAGAAAAAAAACACAAAATAATGTAACAACAACGGCAACAACAACAACAAAATATATGACTACCTAATGAGGGAACCTCCACATGGTGGTAGTCGGACAATGTTGTATACATCAGTGTACAATAGCTAATACCCTCAAATCAATAAAAACTTAATTACATTTTCAAATTCAACATGCAGTCACTGAACCCTAAATGACCATAACACACATTTGAATTCAAACAGTACTGCCTGTTATTATTTATAAAATGAAGTTCTGAACTTATGTGCTCTACATTTACACATAAACTATTATGACAGAGATGGGAACAGTCCAGATCACTTGACAATTCTAAATTTTCAGAAAAACAAATAAAAGCAAGTCTGTGTGCATGTTTCTTTTTCCATTTTAAATCACTGGGGTCCTTAAATGACAGAATTCCATATTTCCCTGTCCTTGTTACAGGTCCAATCCAAATCCTACACAAGCCATTATCTGGGCTAACCACAGAATTTTCTAAGATCTTGTACTTGTATAATTTGAAAAAAAATCCTCCATCTTAACTTTTTAAAAAAAAAAAGGCATGGTCATCCTGACTGCACAGCCAACACTGACCGACACGACGGCTTGTCCGAGTATGCCATGGGAAAGGACATTGGGGATCAACTGGCTACACAAGGCGTGCTAATAAAATATGCAACCACAGATGGCGATGGAACTGGAGCCAAAGGCCTGGAGGAAGCCATGAGAGCCTTACATCCCATGTGGAAAGTGGAGAGACTGGCTGACCCAACCCACCTTGGCAGAGCACAGTTCCGGAAATGTAACAGTGCTAAGTGGAGCGAGTCAATGTTTCCTGGTCGTACCAGACCGATGAGGTCTCATGCTCAGAAGGTATTTTCTCAAGACTTGAAAGCCCGGAGCAGTCTGATTTTCAAGGAATTGATGAAAATTCACTCCAGAGACATTGAGACTATCACGACTCGTTTACCTGCAGTGTTAGATGCAACTGTATCCTGCTACACAGGTGACTGCTCCAAGTGCAAGCAGCATTCCGTGGTGTGCTCTGTTGGTGACAGCGACAACTGGTGGGTGCGATCAATGTTCCTGAGTTCAAACCAGATCCATCAACTTCAAATGACATCGGAGGATGAGATGTTGATGTTGGAGCTTCTGAAAATGAAACTCAGCACTGATGTTATTCAATCTATGAGACTCAGCACATCCACACAGAAAAATGAGGGTTGTCACAGAAGCCTGAATGTGTCTTTACCAAAACATCAGAATTTTGGAAGAAATGCTGAGGGGAGGTTAGACAATGCCATTCTGACCCTAAACAACACTGCAGGGAAAGCCATTCAAAAGAAGCTGGAACACTTTGGTGGTAATCTGAGTAGGGAGGTCAAACATAAACTTGATCAACTCAGCTCAGAGGAAATATATCAACGCCAGCACCAATACAAACCTGATGTCAAGAAAACAAGTATGTTGTTGTTAGCAGAACAGCACAAGCAGCATGCGAAAAGGTCCAGGTCCGCTTGGAAGTCTGACTACAGGAGAGGTCAGCTAGATCCCAACATCCATCCATGTAGGGAAGACAACCGACCTCAGGACCACCTGTATTGAGGTGACAACAAATTTATTAGAGACATGTCAACAATCAGAAAAAAAACACAAAATAATGTAACAACAACAGAAACAACAACAACAAAATATATGACTACCTAATGAGGGAACCTCCACGTGGTGGTAGTCGGACAATGTTGTATACATCAGTGTACAATAACTAATACCCTCAAATCAATAAAAACTTAATTACATTTTCAAATTCAACATGCAGTCACTGAACCCTAAATGACCATAACACACATTTGAATTCAAACAGTACTGCCTGTTATTATTTATAAAATGAAGTTCTGAACTTATGTGTTCCACATTTACACATAAACTATTATGACAGAGATGGGAACAGTCCAGATCACTTGACAATTCTAAATTTTCAGAAAAACAAATAAAAGCAAGTCTGTGTGCATGTTTCTTTTTCCATTTTAAATCACTGGGGTCCTTAAATGACAGAATTCCATATTTCCCTGTCCTTGTTACAGGTCCAATCCAAATCCTACACAAGCCATTATCTGGGCTAACCACAGAATTTTCTAAGATCTTGTACTTGTATAATTTGAAAAAAATCCTCCATCTTAACTTTTAAAAATCTGGCGTAGGAATACACAAGAACACAAATATGCTAATTTGATGTTATTTATAGATGTCCTGATCACTCCAGAAAATAAAGTTTAAAAATTTTTAAAAATTTAATTTAATTAAAATTTTAATCATAATCGAAGTGATGAATTAAAAATTATTTCACTACCTAATCAGTCATGAAATATAGAACAATCATGCCAATTTGTATGAGAATCGGTCAAAAAATGTGGGTATGAGAAATAAAAACATGGATTTTTAGGCATGTCATTAAGGACTAAGACCACAATTAATTTCACTATATGTTTCATTGTAACATTAAAATTCATAACTAAGTCCCAAAGTTTCATCTGCAAATTTCCATTTCACCTGGCCAAGATCAACATCTGAGAAGCAAAATGTAAAAGTTTCAACCCATCATGTTGGGCATTTTCTGGAGATATACCTCCATGTGTGTCACCAACGTCAATTATATACATCCGGGTCAGGGGTAAAGGTGAAAACTGGACTTTTTACACCGGATCCTGCAGCACAAAATACATGTTCAATATGAATGATTTACACACTGACAGCTAGATTATCATCTCTATAACACATCTACAGCAAATTAATAGGCAAACATCCAATTCAAAGAGGCATATTATTTTTTTTCCCAAATATACATACATTTTTTAGGGACTTCATTCGTGGTACTGAACCCGGAAGTATTTAATTGTGGTCTTAGTCCACTTGGACTTACGCAGAGTTATCGTTCGTCAACAGGTGTTTTTGTGTTCTCATATTTTCTTACCCAATTACAATGTTCCGGATTTCTCACATATAGCTAGGGGTTTTGAAGGATGTTTTGATCAATCCTTCGTATTTATCATGAAATTGCCTACATTTATGCCTGGATCATATAACTTACGTCTGTTTATCCTCTTTTGTGTTGATATACGACCGGGACATTTAAAGCAGGTAATTATGTTCGTGTGACACAGGAATTTTAAGATGGCGTTTACCTTGCACTACTGACCTGCGCTAGGTGTTTAATTCAAGAAGCACTTTCTGGAATGTACGGATAATTTTAAGGATATTTTGTGACAAAATCATCTTTAGGCTGCCGTGTAAGCAATTGTGTGAAATTATTCTGACCGACTTGTGGGATTCATGTCAGCCACTGGAACCTGACATCGTCTGCTTTGGTTTCCCTAACAACTATGACAACAACAATTTTTGCTCTAAGGTTAATTTCGCAAAAGTAGCAATTGATGGAATATTATATGTTTTGTAACAGCTAGGTATGTGTGAAGGCGTGTCCTATATCGTGACACTTTTTCACTGGCCTGTTCCATGGAAATTCCCAGGGATTGTTTGAGAAAGTTTAATCTAAAACATTTACATGTAAAACCAGTTACATGTACTAACTTACTATAGAGATAATACAATATAATAAAGTGCCGTTTTCTAGTCCAAACAAACAAATGTAGGCCTATGTGGAATTCCAGAGTAAAGACTTGTAGATGTAATAAGGAGTGATAAAAAAATACCCTGTCCCATTTGGGGTTTGAACTAGCGACCCTTTGGTCTTCAGTCGGACTCGCTAGCTTACCGACAATCTCTTTTAGCTTACCGCTTCTTTTTCGAGACATCCTAAATCTCAATCGAGACTCTAAATACCACAACTGTAGATATTCGTTGGGCAACAACGCAATGTAACAGAACAGGAATCTACACCTCTACTGGCACTGGCCAAGTGAAATTGTATATTTTTGTGACGAATTACAGTACAAAATGAAATGGGTTTAAATACAACAGGCGACTAAAACGCTACATACTGTTATGTCGAAAATCATATCACTACACAAATTCAACATATTTTGTGACATGAGGAGAATGATCAATAAGTGTATGTTTTTTTTTTAGATCTGTAGAATGGCTATATAACTGAGGATGGATGAACCACCCTTTGATCTGCAGGGTTATAATCCACCCATTTCCTTGTGGCAACTTGTTGAACAACATGTCCCCAAACACGAACAGGATGAAATCAAAAACCTACTCGGGGAATCAATGGTGGACCAGAGCTTGGAGTTGCACCAGGAGGTATGTACATAATCAGTCTTAATAATTTAATCAGATGTAATATATTATCAGTGGTCTTTTGAAAATGAGCAAAGCTATTTTCTGTGTTTCTTTATCAGCAAATTTTAATTTAAGATATATATTCACAGATTGATGTATTGCTGGAGATATGGCGAGACTATAGAGATGAAACTAATGACAATCAACGTGTAAAGCTGCCAGAGCCCCCGGGACTGAGGGACAGACTCGTACAAGAAATCAATTTTTTTGCAGAAAATATCAGAGAAAAAGCTAAGAACAATGGCCTGTAAGTTTAATGTGCATCAATTTTTTTATTGTGATAAACATTAAGTGTCAAGTCATAGTTTCCACTGAACCAAAATTTAATTGAAATTAAGTACATTTATATATGTCACTACGATAAAAATCATATTACTTGGTTCAAGTAGACAATAGGAAGATACACAGGGTGATGTACAAAATAAGGTTATCAGTAATACTACTCCAGTGGCAGTTGGTTTATATCCAACGCAGAATAAAAATTCAAAAAAGATTAACTTCATTTGACCAAAATATATGTCTGATTATTTGTAAGAAGAGGAGTGGATGTGACCACAGAAATTATTTGAATGATGTTATATTCTTAACTTTTTAATAGTTTTGATTTTGTTTCTAGATTCAAACTGCATTAATGATTGATTGCTTTTATTTGCCTTTCAGCAACCCAGACAGACTGCTGGAAGCCAAACACTGCACAGAAATAATTGAGTATGCCATGGATACTGCACGTAAGTTTTTTGATGCAAAATGTCACATGATCTATTTTCATAGACAAATTAAGCAATCCTATTTCCCAGAGGTAATCTGGTTTTCTCCCACAGTAAGTCTCCTTGTGGGCTTCAATCTATACCAACAAGTCTGATTTAAATAAGCTACATGTATTAATAGGTTTTACAACTATTGTAAAATAAATTTATAGTGTCATAGTTATTAGGCATGTACTAGGTCTTGAATTTCCTTGTTCTTTTTAGGGTCAGGTTCCCGTTGTATGTCCAGACCAGGGACTGCACGTTCAAGGGATGGTTCAGAAACACCAATGATCGTCACACCAACAGGCAGTGACAGGTATTTATGATCATTAATTGTCCATGATTCCAAAACCAACACATCTGTGAATATGTTGTTTATATCATAACCTCTTTACTGCCATATTCCTGAAGTTTAGGATAAACATACAAGAATTTAGCAAATTTGATGACATTGATATTGGTGTAGCAACCTGGATGTATCGCCATTGGTAAGTAAGTGCATTAGATTCATTGTCACACATTTATGGTAATGTTCTGAGCTGTGATTGTTATTTTCTTCATAAAAAATCAGACAATCAATCACCATTCTTTCAGAAATCAGAACCAAACTTCCAACAAGTAATATTATGGAATAAACTTGATACAAATATTATTTAGAATATAATCTCCATTATGCCACTTATTACATTAATCAAAATCAGTAATGCTTTCAAACGGACGCTTTGTGAAAACTTTCATACTGCCTCCTTGACAGAAAAGATTTGTCAATAAAAGAAATTTTATTCAGAAAATATCTACCAGTTAAAATGAAACAATGGAAAATTAGATTGAAATACTATTTAATTTATTTCACAGTTTTAATGAATCTTTCATTGTGTGTAGATATTTGATATCGTATGTGATTGTTTTCTTTCAGAATTTCTGCAGCATCTACACTGAGTGAAGAAATAGATTCAATGAATGATAAACTCAACTTTTTACATTTTGACGAAGTTGTTCAACATTTAAGGTACTGTAAACGTGAAATTATTGGAAGTATTTTCTGTAAAAGGTTTTCTAATTTTACAGTTCTTAAACATAATTGTCGAAACCTATTGAAATGTTAAGTGTCATTATTCCTGGTACATGTATAAACGTTCCAAACATAGAAAGGAACCTTCCATGATGGCTGCTTACAAAGTGCTATCTTGATGCTTACAGGTCAACATTAGAAGAGGAGACTAGAATGTTGCTTAAAGACATAAAGTTTCTTCAGGATTGTCTGGAAGATGAGGCTACATACAGAGCAGAGGTCCAGGGTACTTTCTCTCGGGAACCTACTATAGCAGGTCAGAGCTCACCAGATTTACTGTAGCTTTTGAAATAGTTCATCTGTAAATATTGAAATGTCTTGGGTGTTTTGACTCTGAAGTTAATACCTGAGCGATTGGTACAGTTTCTTTAATTAACTGGCTTAAACTAGATCTTGCTGAAAATCTCTCAGTTGAATCAGCTACCAAATAAATCACCACCTGGTCAATATAGCTGCTTCAACAGGGTTGGGGACATTCCCAAATTTCCTATGTCTTATGATCTGTACACATAATATTTCAAAACATGTTATATATAATGATATCTTAGAATTTACAGAAATGATTTCTTTTAAATCTGGCATAATACATAAATATCATATGTTGTTATGCCTTTTCACATTTGGTCTCAACTAGACAAAACAATTTTGAGAAGCCACGTTTAGTGAAAAGTTGGTTCGGAGTATTGTTTTATAGGTTTTTAATGAAGAATTGATACTGATGTAATTTCTATCATTTATTTTTTCCTAACATTTTTTTTTTTTTGTAATCATTATTATTATTATTTTCAAAATTCATCAAATAGGTGTTCTTCTCTCGAAGTACGGCTAATCTCAGTAGTTGTGTCAAATTTAGAGAAAAGAAATGTTACATTTAAAGTGCTATTTTTTACTGCAGGAGGAAGAATTATTTAGATTTTGACTTCTTGAGATTTTCTAGAATGATTTTAGAATGCATGTACAATACTAAATGCTGATCTTACAGACTTACAACAAGAACGTTCCAAAATGGAGAAGTCTTTGTTAGTTGATGGAATGCCAAAGAAACTTCCTCAGGTCAAGGCTCCATTTGCACCTCAAGCTTTTAGGTTTGTACATCAATTCTTTTATTATGTGTTTAACTGGAAATGGTGTACAAAATATGTGTTAAACTTGTAAGTTTTTAACTATAATAAGTATCATGTTTCAATAAAGAATGAAGTTTATCAGCACTGTATGTACCATATATGATTTGAATAAGTTCTTTCACTTAGTAGTGTTTATCCATACTTTTTTATTTTGAATCAAATGTGGAGACAGCAAGACAAATTGATTTCCAAAAATCTTTTTAGCACTCTTTGTGTTTTTTTTAGAAGGAATATTGAGGTTTAAAAATACCTAAACTTGCAATTTTTAATCATGATATACAAGTCTTATGGAAATAACATGTATTTGTTGCTGTTTTCATAGGAGACCCCTTCCTGTAGCCACAGATACCAGATCCCCATCTGCAGGTGTTACTGTACCTGATGAAACTGCAAGTCCGGGAAGTCCCAAGGGAACTAGAACTGATCATTCTCACCTTAAGACTAGAGATGGGGGATATAGTGCTAATAAAAAACTGGAGACCTCTTCAGGGACTAGACAAGGACCAATGAAAGCCTCACATACGCTAAGGATGACGGAAAACGTTACAGATAAAACTGACAATCTTGTGCCTACTGAAAAACGTTACAGTTCAGATTCTCGAGAAAGTTCTGCTAAAAGTGCTGGTGGCAGGGTGAAGATGAGACATAGAGATTTAAGTCCAGCACGAGCCAAACTTGTGTCTGTTGACATGGCCTCAGGTAACATTACAGACTTGTCTCCAAATACAAATATGCTTCCAACACCACCTTCATCAGCTAAGTCTCAACGACCGACATCTGCTCAGAGATTTAGAAGAATGGTATTAGACTGTCGTGATACTTAAGGATTGTGATATCATTGAAGCTTTAGTTTCATTCCTTGTTATGTAATTTATTTTTCTATGTCACCTTGCCTAGTTTGATATTCATTATAGCTACCATAGTATCGTTCATTATGATACTACCTCATTTTATTCTTTCCTTCAATTTGTGTTTTTTATTTATTATTTCAAGTGTCTAGTATGAGAGAAGACGATATGCATAATCTGTTCTAAATATCATAGAAAAAGTTCATGCTCATCAATTCAGTGTTGTTAATTACATTATAATCATCAAACAATCAAAGTTCATATCATGAGGACAAATGTGACTTGTAGTTTATAAGAATTTATCTGATTATAATCTGGCATAGCACAATATATCAGATAAAGTATTAAAACTTTCTTAAAAAATATAGGTACTAGTGATTATTCTGTTTTTTTCATTGTAGATTCATTTTGATTTCTGATGAATAACTTTTGTTGAAGGCATTAATTGAAATAGTGTGTTGATAATAGATCTTCGTTAAACTTGTTAATGTGTGTTTGATAAAGTATTTATGTTACCCTAGTCATCATTTAGTTTTATTCGTAAGTAACAAATCCTGAAGTGACAGGGTATTATGTTCAGTATTTTAGCAGGTCAATCTAGAGAAATCTGACTTTACTATTATCTAGAGAAATCTGACATTACCAATATCTGCCGTTTCTGAAATCTGACATTATTGATATCCAGAGAAAAATGACATTATTGAAATCTGCTGTTTCTGAAATCTGGCGATACTGATATCTAGAGAAACCTGACATTACTGAATTTTGGTGTTAATGATATCTAGAGAAACCTGGTATTAATGATACAGTATTGACAGCATACCTGTCTACACATTGCCATAAAATGTCTATACAAAACACTATCATTGTAGATAAATACATGTTAATAGTTTTGTTTTATGATCCAATTCAATATTGTGATCTTCAAGTATATAGCTGATAATGTTATACATTGACAATATGCTGGTAATGTTTTAAACACCTAGAGAGATGTTCTTGTGTAATATTAATACAACTGTAAGAAACCAGTGTGCTTAGTATGTAGTCTGATGTACAAAGATAATGCTTTCTGAAGAAATTATTTTTAATATTTATGTTTGTTACAATTATTTTCACTTGTGTGATTGGTTTGACTCATCATTGCTATGACACATGTTAGTGTACAAATGTACACCTGTCAAAACTTCAGAAATACAGTGACTAAAACCTGTATCAAATTTTGGTGTCTCTTTTTTTTTTTTACATTTACATAACAGGTGTGTACACTTGAGAATGTCACCAATACAGCTTAAACGGCAGTGTTATCAATATAGCTTAGAGGAGAGTTCCTGAATATATCTCACAGGACATTGTCATCAATATATCTCACAGAACATTGTCAGTGATAAAATTAAGAGGACATTACCTCCTATATAGCTCATACGACAATGTCACAAGGAAAGCTTTCCAGGCTAATGTCACCAAAATACAGCTTGGTCGAAAGTACAGCTTTCAGGAAATGTTGTCAATATAGCAAACTGGAAGACGTCTCCCTGGACAATTATGTTCACCTTCCTTTTATAGTAATGTAAGAAGTACTATTAATTATGGGGAAATACAGCGTAATGCATACATATGGACCTTGTGTTGGGAATTCGCCCCTATGTGAGGAGATACTGTAATAAGTTTAATCTATAGATGAATTATATTTGACAAAGCTGTTAACATTGACAAATAAAATGTATTGGAACACATAAAATGTAGTGGAATTTCAATTTAATGTTCTAAGTTCAATTCATCTACCGTTATCGTGTATCTCAACTGTCATGTATCCTCAATACACCAGGGGTTACTATCACTTTCGCTCTCTACACCTCTGGATCGTGTCACGGCAAAATTGAAAGCACAAGCGAAGCAATTTGATTTGTTCCAGGAGAAAAAAGTAAACCAATCACAGGATGTTGCGCTCCTTTTTAAAGATTACAAAGGAACGACACCATTTCAAAGCAAATATAGTATACTGTTTCTCGACCCTGAGACATCAAAGGATTAAACAAGTTCTTTTCCTCGTGTCCACAACTTGTCGCACATGGCATCTTCAATTATGTCGGGACATGTCCCAAGTTATCCAAGATCTGTTGTGTTGCTAGACACTGTTGTCGTAAGGTCTTATATTTGTTCTAAGCCAGTATCATTAGTTTCATTGGCACTAACCGTTTAGTTCCCTCTCCAACATCAATAGACGGCACTGTTATCAGGTTAGAAAGCATTGTGATGTAAGGTCAATTGTTTCAGAAGATGTGACATCTCAAGCAAACCATATCATCATGGATAAATTACTGTATTGTCATTCTCTTAAAGTGACAATTAGTGATTTTAATTGAGCGAGTTATGATTTCCTTTGGTTTCTCTTAGATTCGACAGATAAGGTAATACATTCTGTAATTATATTCATTGCTGCACAACATATAATAAAACACATACAGGCAGGGCGACAGATTGAGAAGGGTTGGGGATGGTCATAGCAATGTCAAATATTCTTCTTTAGATTATAATCCTTTTCTGAGGAAAATAACATGGAACAAAATAGTAGAAAACTGTTACTGATCATACACAGTATGGATTCAAAATAAAGTTCTGATGAAAATGATAAATCAATCAGGAATAAGGACGAATGAAAATAAGTTTTAAAACACGTCCATTTGCTTGAATACTAAGGAATTGGTTATTACTGTTAGAAATACATTCTTCGTGTAAGTCATTTTTTCCCTCTGCTTACAATGAACACAACCAGTCTGATGGCAACCTTATCGAGTGTTTAACTGTCGTTAAAGACGTCAGTTCCATGGGAATGGAACAACAGAGGAAGCAGTCGAGACAATTATATAGATGACCACGCCTACACTGGACTTTACCTACTTGTCATAACCCTTTATCGTCAACAGGCATCTTTGGAGGGGTCGGGATAGTTCTTCACGGATTTCAGGAAGGAGATGAATCAATGTCACTGTCGAATTGTAGTATTAAGATTACGTTCAGAACATACACGATAAAGATGCTGACAAATAGACCGTGTAATGTTTGTAGTTAAAGTAATTAAAATTGTAGAGAAGACCAGCACACATCACATTTAACCACGTGCTCCATTTTATTTTTCACCGGAAGTTCTACAAATTTTCACAGGTGTCACCTAATACTCATAAAGGACCCGGAGACGGGCATATGTTCCGGAATTCGACTTGCCTACATTTCATCACCAGTATACAGCCATATACACTACATCCCGCCCCCAACTGAAAAATTTGAGGAATACAAATTTTATGACTGGCGATGAAATGCAGGAAAGAAGAAACATCATTCAAATCAATAATGAACAATCTACATGAGGAAGCAAAAATAGGAAAAATACCACAAGATCAACTTAGATAATACATTTGATGCATGATAACAATTTCTTCAAGTATCCATTAAGAACTATAAGCAGGAACCAGCTGTAACAGCTGCATGGTTATCCTACAAACCAGTAGAAAGTACAAATAATGCACTCACTATGTTTTAAGTTATCAAGATATAGATGGGGAAAATTGAGAAATTATGCAAAACCATCATTTCATTCAAAACACTTACAAAATTACCCCAGCGCTGAAGGTATACATACTCTCACACATACGCTGCCTGGACAATTAGTCAGCTTTACTCAACATCTTTGATGTCATATTCATTTTCTGGCATAAATCATAATGGTATACAAGAAGTATAATTCACTAAGCAAGCCTGATCTCACAACTGGTATATAAAGAATACTGTATTATATCATCATGGTAAACATCCTCCTACCAAGCAACAGCTTATTCTGAAATTTCCACTTCTACTCTACCACATGCAAAGATTAACATTTGATTTGAAGTATTATATATGCATCACAATGGATTCTCGGTGAACAATAAAAGTTTGTAAACAGCATGACATCATTAAAGATTACAAAATGGTTCACTATGCTAATTTTTTTTTTTTTTCAAAAAAAACTTCATTCATGAAACAAAAGAACACTTATTACTCTAAAATGATACCCATGCAATGCATCTAAATGTTTGAGTAGAATGCATAAGCATGTTAAATTGAAAATAATCAATATTGTAGTGGGATCATACTAGCAAGACATCTAAATTGCATGTTGCTTATAAAGGCATTAAGATTATATAATAAAGAAATTATACAAAAATTTTGGAAATCTTGGTAGGAACATTATAGCTCTGTGGAAACATACATTATTTGCCATCAGATGAATTCTTTAGAAAAACTCAGTAGCGATGACAATTTACGTATAATGCATTCTTGTACATGGTAGGAAAAAAAAAAAAATAAAAAAAAAGAATTATTCATTCCTTAAGCACATATTCCATTCATGAAAATGAAGGTATGCATGTCATCATAAAATGTAGGGGTAATCCTAGTGTAACAATATCAAAATAGTTGTAGCACATATCAAAATTCAGTACCTATCAAAATTCAATATCAATGAATAATGAAACATTGTTAATAGACACATCCTATATATTGTCATAAAATCGAATGTCACTGAACAACCTTTGGTGGTTTCCTAGACATTGCTCGAATAGCGGCCGGGTTCAAATCTGCCAATCGGACCCAACGAGCATTTTGCGAGGGCTCTCCAACGAAGTGAACAAGGTATTTTATGTCAAGTCCAGTCCCTCTCTGAGCTAAAACTCGTTTAATCTTGTAGTAATGATGGTCACTGGAGGAAGATGATGATGAACAAAGATCCACATTGCTGGAATCACGAAACCGTACAGGTTTCTTTATGACACGACGAGCGCGTGGTAATACACCAACAGGCGGACCAGAATGGTCAACAGTTTCAGATTTCATTCCCTGATCCAATTCTGAAAACTCAGGAGGAAGTTGAGAATCTTTGATGTGCGAGGAATCGGCCAAAGAAAATTCCGCAATAGTTGAAAGATGCGAGTCACTTTCAT